TTAATGGACAAAATCGTGCAATTTGTGAATAATTCCTGACGTGTGTTAAAGGCATCTCATTTTCCTTTAACAGAAATGAAAATGATGTCTGCAAGAACACATTGTGCATATGGTACCCTTGGAGATTTATTTTATTTTAGTGGTTAATTTCTGCATATGTTTTCCCACGTGAAAACCGAGAGCCGAATTATGACATTAGTCCTTGAAGTATACCAAGACTGTTGGCTACCGAAGTGTGACGTCACCGTGAACCAGAAAGTGCTGTGCAAACGAATGGAGTACGCGCGCGTGTTGGTCCACGCACCAATGCCTTTTACACACATAATCAAGCACGTGACGTATTCACCTCGGTACTCTATCCGCCTCGAGCCGAACAAAAGAGGGCGTGTTTTTTGGTACTCGCCGCATAGACGCGCGTTTATGATGGAGATCAATGACGCGTTAAATTTGACGCGGAGCACACTGATTATTCGTAACTTCATGGTCTCTGCGTACACGCAGAATACGTGCAAGAACCCGCTTGGAAAATTTACAACCATCTCGCTTTCTTTTGCCGCTTGGGGTTGCACACTGGGATAACTGAGGACTGAGAATTTGGCCCAATTTTTCGTGTACCTGTCTCCACAAGGGGACATGTGAACTTGAAGTTGATTAAGTCACTGTGTGGTTGTTGGTTGGCACCAGTGGACATCTATAGGGAAGTCAAAGTTTAAGGACTAAAATCCCTCTCATACAGGACGCTGGAAATGGGGAAATGAAAAAAAAAGATAAACACTGAAAGACCGCTACTCTCCCTTGATGACTTCAAGATCACACAGTCGCATACTACATCTGCTTCTGTGTGGTAGCCATGGTAGGACCACTGGACGGTCTGTTCGGCTGAAGTGAGTTGCCAAGCGAGAATGATATTTCCCACTGATGAATGAAAAAAGGTCGGTACCGGTATAGTTTGACTGCCATTTGCAAGAGACATGCAACAAAATTATGTTAATACCGGTCGGTTGAGATTGTCTCACGGTGGTGTGGTATACCATGAATAAGTAAAATATTCCTCCCTGGGCATATACACCAGAGTCCCAAAGCACTACAACAGCTTCCAATTTAAAAAAAAATCGGCGAAAGAAAGACAGGTAGTTACAATAGTCTGGATACCAGACCCGATTCTGACTAACGTACTCTACGAATCAAGGGTCCGGTATCACCCAATGTCCATCTGACCAAGACTGGAGGAAATCTTCCAGTTTTCCGGAAATAGCCGAAATATTCTGAAGTCGTCCCGGCTATATTCGGCATATTCGGATAGTACCGTGGATGTTCGGTCATTCCCGGCCGGGTAGGTATGCTAGCTGTTGAACGTAAACTTCCGTGTCCTAATGACAACTGTTGGTCCTACAATATTTGGCTTTATACACTGAAATCGAAGGTAGCTACCGAATATAACCTTCTTCGACCAATGCAGGCTTTGCGCCTGAAAGGTGATCTCAGTGGGGATACACTTGAAGTATTGCCCACTGTATATGGTAAAAGCCTCATTTTTGAAATGTTGCCAATGATGAATTCAAAATGACCCGGGCTCTCAACTTGTGACCCCTGACCCTTGCGTCATATCTATTTATATCGGTGGGTGATGCCTGACCTAAGATTTTTTTGCGTGTACGCAAAGACCATAGAGTACCAAAGTGTGACGTTACTGTGAACCAGAAAGTGCAGTGCAAACGAATGGAGTACGCGCACGTGTTGGTTCACGCGCTGGTTCTCGCGCTAATGCCTTTACACACTAATTGTGCGCGTGACGTATTCACTTTGGTACTCTATTACATGCCAGAATAAATAGTTACGCGTACTCGGCATGCTCGGCGTCAAACGTGCATATACTTGCGCACCTCATGGCGCACCTATGCAGTGAGTACCAAAAAACGCCCTCTTTTGTTCCGCTCGGAGCGGATATGCGAGGCGATCTCATTTTGTGCGCATTTAACCAAGTTGTTTTGAAGTCACGAACTGAGACTAGGTACAGAGTGGCACTTCCGGTTCCAGCGACGCACTCTGTGCATTTCGGTTGTCATGAACTGATACTGATCTTAATTCCAGCAGTTAAAACAGCTCTTAATCATTTTGTGTGCGTGTGGCGGTGTGTGTGTGGGTATGTGTGTGTGACGAGCAAACAATACCAGATTAAAGGTATTATTTGTACTTCCAAACAATTGTGTTCAGCGTTTTGATGTAATGTTAATGGAGTGTAACATAATTATGTGTATCATGACCAGCGCCCCTATTGTCACGTGGTGTCTAGACCCCCTCCCCTTTTAGAATCTCCACAACCACGCTCCACCCTCCCGTTCACAGATGCCACTGTGAACTTTGAAGGTCGTTAGCATCATAAGCTTGCGCGCACGACACCGGGAGCTTGGATCAGGACCGATTATAAACAGTTAATACACACAACAGCCGTCGAATAGTATTTGCCGGAATCAATGTGCATGCCGTGTGCGTCCGTCCACGTAGAATAATAATGCATGCATGAATCATTCAGACGGTCAGTATGCGGATTACGTGATAAAGTATCGGTAATAAGTTTTAGCATGAAAACCTCGGTCAACCATGCTTTTGTAAGGCGCGCTTGTTTTTATATGGTCGCAGCTATCGCCCCTACTCATTTGCATAGAAAATCTGAGATGAGAATCCAAAAGTGACTGGTTGATTGTTGCGAGAAGAGGCCTTAATCAAATTGGTGGCATACGTTAGTAACCAAACTGATATTATTTTGACTAATTGACTATCGACTGGATCGATATTTATGCCGCGCCCCCGTGAGTCATTATTCGCGTGGGTTCAGTGCGTTCGTTTCACGCGCGTATAAGGACGTCTTGGACTGATAACGAGAGTTTATTGCCTCATGAGGAAAATTGTGCACGTTCGGCCATCGGGGAAGCTCATCACGAAACCTGCCCTAGCAAATACCGTGACAAAAGCGGTGACATATCCAGCAGGAGGAAGCTCCTCCCCCGAGATAATTACGTTGCGATTTCTTCGACGAATTGAAAGGCTGTAACACGCTTCATTTCATTTTTTGAGAGCGGTTAGGATTCTTTCATGGATGAAAAAAAACCAACCAATTGGCCTGTCGTGGAAACTTGAACCAAATCTATTGTTCGTCGATCCAACCTAACCTGGATACGCCAGACCGAAGACGCTCTTTGACCAACTAAAACAAATCCACGTCTTTTAAAGTACAGGATTCATCGCAAGCATTTGAAAATATTTGCATGCATCATTTCACCTTTATACCGTCGACCAGGCGTTCCAGTTAATGATTATACTTGATACATCCAACGCCTCCTGGAGGGATACTGGAAAAGAAAATTACAAAATTACAGAAATGAGGGGATTTTGTTTGACTGGTTCAAAAAACAAATACATGATGAATGGAACGATATAATATCAATCAATACATTCTCTTGTCCGTTAATAAAATTTTCTCTTCTCGTGTTGCCTAGCCCTCTGGCGGAGTTCAAGGCCGGTTCCATCTCTTGTAAGAGTTGACCACAAACCTTTCGTCAAAACATGGGCACTATCGGTTTTTTAATGTCCGTTTTCTGGGAGTGCACAACATGAGAATGGGAATGTTACTACATTGCCAGGTACTGCTTTGGCTGCACGGGGTAATGTATTATTATCGATTTTGCCGTGAACAATGAAAACAGCCTTGAAATTTGACCGTTTTGAGTCGAATTTGCAACAATTTTTAATCTGGGCATTGTTCTTTTGGTAAATCCGGAAAATGTTGGAGGGAAAAGCTATCTATTAGCGCTCCTCGATGCGAAGAACCGGAATAGTTGGCTTTGACTACGATTGACTGCACGCTTTCACCGGAGAAACTATTGACGTTCATCCCTTTTGCGGTAAGCTTTCCTAAAAATCAAATGAGAGTAAAACGAGTTTGATGCGGACGGTTGTAATGTCACTCTCATGCAAATTAAATTCCATTTATGAAGCACACGATCATCATTGTAAAACCCAAATCTGACCGTCCCAGTTAATTTAAAGGGATCATGTAATAGCATTATTTCACAACAGCCCTTGAAATTGTGATTCTGTGTTTCATGTAACCTTCTTTCCCATTTTGTTTTTCTTGTTTACTCCGTCCGTTAGGGGCTTCTGGGTTTTATGCACATTCAACTTTGCGTGTTCATGAGCAAAACTGTGATGTCATCTAAGGCGCTGAACCTCCATGTTGCACTGATATGCGCACAGAAAAAAAAATGCTGGATTTGCTTATATTTTGGAACGGTAAACTTGGCGAAGAAGAGTATGACGCTGCATGAAAATTGAGAGGAAATTCAGTGCATGTTTCCTTTAATTAGCACGTAATTGCATCTTAAATTAAATAGATTAAAACATTTAAAACACCTGAACTATATTGAACAACTTGACACCTACTGAAGAAAGTCTGTCCTACGCACTTCAACAATAAAACTCAACACTGGTGTCAAATTCGAAATTCTGACTTCGGTTGGACTTGAGCGTTCAATGACGTCAAAGGTGAAAATGCCGTATGAAACTTCTGTATAATAATGCGCCTCCAACAGTTTGCCACGCGTTGACCAATCACAACTCGCAAAATCAGTGTCGACCCTTTCCAAATGCGCATTGGGTCGACAGATTTAGCGCACCGCAATTGGTCGACGCGTTGCAAACTCTTGGAGGCACACTATTGTTAATAATAGCCTGCATTGAATTGGTTTGCAAAATGTACTGCGCGTGAAGTAAGGAAGGTTGGTCGCACGTACCACCACAAATGAAGGTTTACCAGATCTGTTTTAACATCTAATCTTTTGGGCAGTAGATTCCGATACTGTTTTTTTCGTGAAGGGATAGACTTTCGTGAAGGGATAGACTTTCGTGAAGGGATAGGCTTTCTGTTCCATGAATACCACTCCACATTTGCGTCTGCATACTGACAACAAACTTACATTCACAAAAAGGAAAACACACTCAAGTACAAAAATCATTGTGACTTTTTATATTTGACGCAAAATTGACAATCCGGTATTTCCAACTTGATACAAACATACCATTCAAAATTCTACACAAGTGTACACACTAACCAATCTATCAATATTACAAGATCGGTGCTTATGTAATTAAAAGCAGTGTTTAACGCTAAGCAATAAATCCCCGTCTAAATTATTTCAGACTCGGTTAACCCACTGATCATTCTTGTCGCCATCATCTCTTCATAAGATATTTCATCAATCCAAGCCAGCTAGTAATTTTCTCACAACCCTCAGACCAAACTGAGAATATATATATCGAGTATGGGGAAAACCTAGCATAAAAAATATTTCACAAACATATCAAAACGAGCCTTCAATGTTTCTGGATTGTTCTCTCCCACCTACGGGTGGTTTGTGGGAGTTCATTCACCCCCCCTTCACCTGCTGACTAATGTTGCGATACTAGTAAAACTAGGCCAAAATGGAATGCTTAGGTTCCTGAACTTATTCTTGAAATTGCCTTAGAAAGTAGGAGAGAGCATCATTGATCTCAATATTTCTGCAAGGTATGCCTTGTAACCCCCTAATTTGGAATCTCTTCAACACACCCTACACTTGCATTCCTTTACACTAACCCCTCCCACATTTCCTGACAGCTGAATCCGTCCCTCCACATCTCCTGGCTCCGACTTTCCACACCTCAAAGCTACTCATTTTCCTTTCCCAAATCTCGGTGTCACTTTCTCCGCGGTGTCACCAGAACTTGAGCTTGATCCCCCTGGTGTGTAGGCCGAAGGCCACTAGGCATAGCCCCAGCATGTACAGGACTAGAACCGCCATGCTGGCGGGCATGGGCTGGCCAATGGTGTCCAGCGACAGATTGACCACGCCCGTCAGGAGATTACACAGCAGGAAGACCAGAAGGAGGTTGGGCCGCAGAGCTGCGACGAGAACAGACTCCGGGAGCAAGGGGTGCTTTCCAGCTGAGTATGGAGCGTGAAAAGGATTGTTTTTAGAAAGAAAAACCATTTGTGACTAAACCTAACAAAACAAGGCATAAATTCCCAAATCCACTTACAAGTTAACGATCTTCAAAAGAATCTCGAACAAAATGTCAATCAACCAGAACCCTCAACATTTTTAATCCACAAGGTCCACTTACATCAGAGTGCCCAATCAGGTGATATGTCCAAACAAAGACCCCCGCTTGCTGTTTCTTATGTTGACAACAACAAAATTACAGAAACAAAATGGACTTTAGACTCATTTTGTGGGAGCTTGTCACATTTATTACATGTTTAATTCAATCTCCTCACAAATTTTGTGACAAACTTTCGTAAGTCCTCAACCCCCCCTCAACTGACTGAAAAGAGACACCAGTGGGACATTCTTTGCACTTTAGCTTTCAAATGTACATTACTACCACTTACCATCCCAAATCTTTCAAAATCCACCAAAACATCTTGGAAGATTCTGTAGGATTGAGGAGGGTACAGCCCAGCCACTGCTATTTCACACTGAGCTCTGCCTGATGCTTCTTACAACATAGTGGATAATTGTCAAGGATTGAGAAATGTTCCTAGCAAGACTGCTTTAAAGTCAGTGTTAGTATTGGCTGGGCTCTACCTTCCTTGATTCCACAAAATCCTCCTCAACCTCTAGGTAGATTTTGAAGGATTTGAGAGGGACAAGATTTCATAGGAACGCAATAACTCACATTTTGACGATGATATCTTGAAGGGGGATTTCCAGATGAATTCTTTGCCTAATGCAAGAACGATATCCACCAGCATGTAGGATGCCAACAGCTGGATACAAAAGCACAACTGAAACGGAAAACAAGTCACTTCAACCGTTCACTTTTTCTGCATTGCTCAGGTTGGATGTACTTTTTAATGTCACATTTCAATCCTACCAAAATCCTCTCCGAGTTGCAGGTTTCCTTCTTTGCCTTTGACAGGGATTCCCAAGTGTCAGAACATCAAGCCCTCAAAAGTTTCATCTTTTTGCAATCGTCCCTTGCATCTTTTTATTTTTTCAGTTATTTAGTTTTTCCTTCCGTCAGTTTGCTGGAGCAAGTTTTGACTCACCGTCCAGATGATGTAAGGCAGGTTGGCCATACGCCGGCAGACAGGCTGAATGTACACAGACGAGGCCTCTAGAAAGATCCACAGCAATACGTTGATCACAACCAGCAACAAGAAGGCCAACCACCAATCGAAGAACAGCGTCCTGGACAGGTGACACAGAAAGAAAAGTCATTTACTTCATACAAATCGAGATAAGCAAGCTGGTATTCATGATTAAAATGTGTTGCAGCTTGTACACGTTTAGAGAAGCTGTTGATTGCGAATTACGAAAGAAAACCCTTCTTCGTTCCATTTCCATTAGCTTCTGCTGTTGTATAAAGCAAAGTTGGACCTAAACTTCCCTCTTGCAACAATCACTGTGGGACAACAAGGTCCCATAATGATGGATCACCGACCAAGCGACATCTTGTCCCAGCCTGACAGTGATATGTGTGGCAAACTTAGTACTTTTTTTGACTGAAAAGCTATCAATTCGATTCCCAAGTGGGCTTTGGTTTAATAGTCTTATGGACAATACTGTAACAAGCCAATCTGCCCAAAATAGGAGCATAATTTAGGCGGCATGTGACTTAATGGGATGAGAAAAGCATCTCTCTCCTTTTACGTGTTTCATCCTATAATTTAAAGTGGAAAACCGAGCACTGGATAGCATCACATTATAACGGCATTTAGCTAACTGACTCTGTTCATGGACAAACAAGGGCACTGTTGCCACCTAACAAGAAGAGCACATTAAGGAAAGCAGGCTGGTTTATGGACAGTGGTTACCGTACCAGAGGGCAGCATGAAAACTCAGCAACTCTCTTATTTTCCCCATTGAAGGAATACTGGACCAACAGGTCTAAAAGACTTCTAGACCTTCACTTGGACCACCAAGTTGATCTCTCACATGCGCACCTTCGTTTGAGAAGGAATCTCCCCGTCCAAACCCCGGCCAAGTAGATAGCCAGGTACCCGACGCAAGACACCAGACCCTCCCGGTTGGCGTCCAGCAGGCCCTCTCGGCTTCCCTGGCCATCACTGCCCGCCAGGACGAACTGCCCCAGGCCACGATTGGACAGGAGGTGCTGGTAGCCCACCGCGATGGCCAATGCCAGCGGGCCGCTCAACACTGGCGGAATGACGAGCAGACAGACCGATGAAACTATCTGGGCAAAACAAAAGAGAATCGAGGGCAATTTCTGTTGATAACACTGGCAATTCGGCTGGTTTCAACTGCAAGGATTTTCTCTTGCCTAGAAACATATCTGTACAGAAGAGCCAATGTTTGATAAAATACATATGTAGCTGAGGAAGAAAAGAAAAGTAGATTTCTTTTATTTACAGCAAAGCCGTTTATACACGTACCAATCAAAATATCGTGGCATAAAACTTTTTCAGTACCACATTGTCCATAAGTGTTGATGCTCACCACAAGTATAAATTTATCTATTTATTTTTTTACAGAGGATACACTAAAAATGACCCCATTTCCTGAAATAACAAAATTAGAAGCTCAATAAATTTGTGCAAGCTCGAAATTTACCTCTGATTAGATGTAATCAATAAACCATCAAGTGATTCCCCCCTGTAATTAATGGTACAGTCCTTACAATTACAACAGCCAATGTGAAGAAGAAGTTCCAATGTACGCCATACTCGGATACATGCTCGTGGTAGCCTGAACTCTTGACACTGGCTAGGCGGACCATACCAAGTATGACCATGGGGAGAGCTGATATCACTGTCTTTGTGAGGGACTTCAGAGCTCCTGTTACCCCACTACTGTTGAGAAAAGTCACAGTACATCAAAGTCTTTCACCTCCGTCCAGAGCCAACGGAACAATTACAGAGTGTTAGCTTTTCAAAAATAAGCTCAGAGCTAGTCTCTACATTGTATTTTCCATGAACTCTTTGCCTTTTTTTGCTTAGCAAGCAGTTTCACTTTCTGTGTAAAGCAAATTAGCCTGTTTGTGTCCAGAAGCAACCCATTTTACCAGAATTACTTCCCTCACATAAATTCATCATCTGTGGTTTGCAACATAAACACTGCTTTTTAAGCGAAAAAGTTCATAATCCAGATTGCAAATTTTATCTTCTTTCACTGTTAAAAGAGCTTGCCATAAGTTTTGAATTTCAATCCCAATCAGCTTGACTGCCAAACACGGCATTTCCTCTTGAGGGCAGAAGATTGTGTCTCAATCCTTGTCCCAGCAAACCTGTAGAATTCTATGACCTGTAATGTTTTTTCCATTTTACATGTCTACAGACTACTGATGCAGTACCTGAAGATGTTTTGGTGCACCCCGCGAGCTTCTTTGCTCACCAGTGCATTCATGAACATGAAGGCTCCCACACCGATGTCCATCATTCCGGTGCCGTACGTCTCCGTCTTGGCAAACCGCCGCGGGAAGACCGGAAAATCAACGGCCAAAATGGTGATGGCCGAGGCCACAATGCCGTGCACCCGAAACATGGTCATGAAGACCAGCTGTTCCGATTCCATGGGGAGCTCCCAGAGTGGCCGCGGGGCAGCCACGGCCTTGGCCTTGGAGGGCCGTTTCACCCGCTGGGATCTCACTGGCTGCAAGAGGTAGGCCACCACGAGGAGTGTTGCCGAGGTAACCACAAGACTGATCAGGAATCGCTGGAGGGACCCGTTCCAGACGGTGAAGGCAAGAAGGAGTGGGATAACAAGGGTGACAAAGTCAAGGGAAAAGCTCAACCTGTTTAAACAGAAGAGAAAAGGATTCCATAAACAAAATAATATTTGTATTCAGTGCAAGTTTGAGAACTTGCACAAATATATCAATCTCCTTCTGCATTATCTTAAAAGTTTAGGAAAGGGTAGTACCTTATGGACATCGCTAGAAACCCTGCTGACAAACCCTAAGAGAGTGATTTAAGCCTTTTTAGTTAGTAGGTGCTTCAATATTTTCCCTGCTACACTTGGCATTTGGGGCATGCTGTCCCCTTCTGATGGCTGGTATGTCACTGCAAGTCACTGCAAATAAGTGATGTCCATGCACAGAATTCGTCCCCAAAGTTCATTTGAGACTGAGCACGCTCTGTAAAGAAAGACAGCGACTTTGTCTAAGTTGCCAACTTGCCCTGACTGAAGTATGCCTAATTGTCTAAGTATCAGCAATGTGTAGAGGAGAGACGGTACCCCCAGAACTGAGGGGTCTGATGTCCGCCCCAGGTTCGTGGAAGCGGGGCGGATGTCGGACCCCACAGTTCTGGGGGTAGAGACACAGTACAATGCTATGGTGATAAAGAGATGTTAAGTTGTCAATACTTACCACTTATTTCTGATCACGTTCCCAAAGACCATGAACAGAATTGGGAGAAGGGTCCATCGTAGTAACTCAGAGGCGGGGCCCACGGCAACTGCAAGGGAGACCTCGAATGGAGTAGTCCCTGTCAGATTGGTGTAGAATGCCTCCTTGGCATTTCGAGAAGCCATGACACCGTTACTGCTTAACCTGGATATCTTTGTAAGTGTGACATTATGCATACCCTCAATTTGAAATGTGACTGCTCCAGGTACGATCACTTGACCATGTTGACAATCTGTCAATATTAAATGCTGCCATCAACCCGCCACTGTTTATATCTACTTCACTTTTGTAAAAATTTTTTAAAGCATTTATTTTTTTTCTCTTACATTTAGTTATTGCTACCAACAGCAGAAAAAAAGAAAAATTAAAATTAGACAAGGTCCTTCACATTTTAAGTTTAACACTTAGGCCTACCTTAAAACAATCTTCAACTGTGAGCAGTGATCAGGAGAAATTCCATGATCCAACTGAGTTGATGAACCGAAGTGAAGTTTAGAGAATTTTAAAAGGATCAACCGATAGCGCAGTGCGACCTACCGTGTGCCTCCAAACGTTCCTATGTTTAATATGTACCGTTAGGCCTATCATGCCTATGATATTGATAAGGCTACATGTACGTATGTCCGCGTATCGCATGCCATTGCCGTCTGCAATTTGCAAAATTATGAGTAAATCGTGATTAGGCCTATCAGCTAATACAATTTGTTCGACAAGACCGATATTTGACTTAAACTATTGAATATATGCTAGAGCACTTCAAATCAAACTTACCGTATCGGTATCGATAAATGAAGACACTTCCTGCTATTAATATTCTCAAACACTCAACCAGGTGCATTTTAAATTTTGGTGACAGGGCGCAGCCATGATAGGTATAGCGCCCCCAATGATGTCGGCAACTACATTATCATTTACAGAAGAGGGGTGGTGTAGTTGTATATTTGCGAGAACAGGGACCCTAAAAACTAAATTTATTGGCAAAAATACAATACAGTACATTGAAAGTGAATTAATGTAATTTTTATATAATTAAATTTGTTATTCTAAAGGAACTTTCCTTTTAACACTTGTTCTAAATAACTTGAGGGCATCGTTATTCTGTAACCATCCCTTTTAAAATGTTACGTCCAAATGTCACATAAACTTGTGAAACATCCTTCCGCCGCTACACATATCTTTTGCAAGACAAGTTCTGCAACGAAATGCAATTAGCTTCACTTTGAGAACATGTGGGGCTCTGGATTTCTGAGGAAAATAGCGGATAGTCTTCTCGTCACTTGAATAACGCTGATAACCATGGCTAGTTTTCTCTTTTTGGTTGTTTTCTTTTGTACAAGACTTAACTTTACCCGGAATGCGCGAGAATGAAAATTGTTATTTAAATAGTACTAGTACTAGTAGTAGTAGGCAAGGTTTTCTCGACACCACTGCGTGAAAGGACTTGAATTACGTGTTTTCAGAGAGATACTAAACGTAAAAGTTCAAGGCAATGACGATAAAAATTACCTTCCTTTCAACAGTTAGTTTCTAATTCAACAGGACGAAGGTGGACCAGCACAGTTGATCAAAGAACTCTTCTCTCTCCAGGAGGAAAGGATAAAAATTTACCAACAGTTAGACCAGTAAGATATGCCAAACAAAATTTAAGTAGTTAATTCAATATAGCACTCTAGCACTTAGATTTCCAGTTCACATACTGAGTTTTTAAAGGTAGCCTGTTGAATACTTCTTGCTATGGGAGAGAACTTGACTGGGTAGGACAAACAGCTAGACTGGGAGATTCTTTCCCCAAAAGTCTAAATATTCGTACGTGTGTACAAAAATTGTTTATTTCTATGGAGTGAATTTTTATGTGTGGCCTTTGACAGAAGTGGCAAGTTTCTTTTGCCGTCCAGTGTATATCAGTTTATACTTATTTCTTTCTGCCTCTTTAAAAGTTGCCTTTTTAAATCTTTTTTCTTCATTAATCACAAAGTTACTTCTCTTGTCAGGGGTTCGTCCCCTCCAGCATCAATTTGTGTCAATATTTTTTTCCCTGTTTTTCCAGGGGTCACAATGTGTACCTTGGCACATCTCCCGAGTATGACTTCCTGACTTACCGGCAAGTCGTCCACGATTGCACCGAGGAATTCTCCAGAATATCCAAGCGGGTCATCACCATCGAGGAGCTGTTCCAAGGGGCATTTCACAATGCCGAGATTGCCAAATTGATTCGGAAAATACAGGAGAATGAACAGGCGAAGCTGCAACTGGTAGGAAAAGGACTGTTTCGGTTTTTTTTTTAAAAAAAAGGAAAGATTTGACGAAGCCCTTGTGTGTCAGAAATATTGGGTGTGGCCAGTTTTATGAAAGCACACAAAGAGTAAAGTTCAGAGGTATAGGCTGACTTGTCACAGATTTTCTTGTTGTGACTGTGAGATGGTAGATCATCTTTGTGTCTAGTTAATGGAGGAAAAAGCTATTGTTGTTGCAGTGGCAAAGCAGGATGTGGCCGGTTGATGGTGTTGATGATGTAGTGTCTGGGTTTAGCCATGAAGAAGACCATTATCTGGTTGTGATGCTGTGTCTGGGTGTGGTCATGAGGTTGTACAGTCTTTGGGTGTGGTCATGTAATGTGATGCCATATCTGGGTGTGGCCAAGTAATGGAGACAGAACATCATTGGACTGGACTTTCTGACAGCTATTTAATAGAGGCTTTACGTGGTAGCCATCTTGCAGGGCAGTTCCCTTTTCCACAGGGAAACCTCCTTTGTTCATACCCTGTGGAACAAGAGAACGATCCCATAAGACGGCTACCACGCAAAGCTTCTGTAGGAATATTTTGGCACATGTGGCACCTTGAGTGTGACCATTACTAAAGGCACGCCTGTAACTAACAATACACGCCCCCATATCTGTTTGCCGTACAGACGGGTCAGCTGCAGATAGCCAAGCAAAGACTTCAAGATGATCCTGGTGACTTGATCGAGGAGGAAGTTACACAGCTGAAACACAAGTATGCTTTGCATTCTTTCACAATGTTCACAGAGTGACCAAGTCTTGCAGAGTTTTTATCTGTCACAGAGAAGTCCTATGATTGAGAAATGTGGAAAGTGCATTTTACATTCTTTGTTTCAGCCAGGGTGGCGCCACTGAGTACAATCACAAAAATACCCATCCGTTTTGCCCACCCGGTAAATGTTGCGGCACTGCCTCATACCTTGTCAAGACTGCACCAATTTATTTTGACAATTTCTTGTTTCCATACGATAGCTTTATGTTCTGGAAATGTTTGAAATGTTGTCATATTCCTCTTTCATAGAATAAGCACCACCGTCTCACAAATAGCCGAACTACTCCAGGACCTGCGATACGAATCTGAGGACCTGCTGATGGTCTGAGGACCCGTGACAGTCCGAGGACTTGGTCTCAGGACTTGAGTCTGAGGAACTACTGGATGGGTCACATGATCCGATTAAAACATTTCTTCATAAGTTGGATGTGCAGCACACTAAGTGGAATGAATCAGCTGAAGTCACAAGAGGGCAGCAGATATTCAGGTCATGAATGCATACATGGATGGATTGTCGATTCAAATGCCACATTTTGCATATCCTGGATGTACATGATGCAAGTGACTTTCAAGACCAGTTTTTAACCCCCCCTAAAAATCATGGGACATAATGTAAAAATCACCTTGTTGTACTTCCAGCGAGCTACATGCTGCCTCTCATCAGTAACCCAAATAGAACCGACTCCAAGCTGCTGGCCCATTGTTAGATGTGGCTTAAAAAGAAAAGGGCTCCATTTTCTTGTCATACTAAAATAAAATCTACCTCTTTTAATTCATCAACTGAATTGCTTCAGTTAGCCTTCTCGTCAAGTCCAGTTTGATTATTATGCAAATATTCACGAGCATATCTGCTCATGGGAGTTGGGGGCGGAGCTTGCAAAGTGGGGCAGGGTGGATGTTGTGACCATCCAAGAGTAAAGAAATGCAAATAAGACAAGGTCATCCGTCTAGTGCCAAGTTTGCAATGCTGATACACGTCAATATTATGTCCACTGAGAGTACCGAAATCTGGAAACAGTGATTAAAGAGATTCGTTTGTGTTCTTTATTCTGGAATGGCATTAATAACAATAACATTTGTGTTTGCTAATTAATGCCAACAGTGTTGACCCCAGACAACTTGACACTTCCTAGTCATTCAGTTAAAACCTTTTCATCTCTACAAGGTTATGTTAAACTGAAAAAACTCTTATTCCAATGACTCTGGCCGTGGGAGATCTAGAGATACCTTGTGAGACAACTGAATGCCATAGGATGCTCATGAGGTTCTATAATTATGAACACAGCTTTTCATCCATACAGTGCCTCCTCACGAAGTTGTTTCAATTTTTTTGAAGTTGTCCAAATGACATTTATTTCACTCTCCAAAATGTTGCCTTTCTCCTCTAAACCAAGTTCTTGAAAACCAAAAAAAAACAGGATTGGGGAAAACTTTACATAACTCGGGTATAATACACAAAAATCTGGATCAGTCGATTTACTGGTGGGAAACGCCATTTCTTGAAACATCTAAACATGTTACATTGTAACTCTTGCTTGGGTAAAAAGCTGGTTCATACTTCGCATAAGAGCAAATACCAAGTGGTGACACCACTGTATCCCCCTTTTGGGACTGGTAACACTAATTCTTCGGTGTGTTTCAACTGTGAGCGACCTGCATACTTTCTGGGCACCAACTTTTTGTATAACCCATGGGATTATTGTGTACTTCCACTGAGAACACACTGCTTTCCGCAAAATACCTTCCCTCCAATATAACGTGCATATCAACCTATCCTACAGGACCAAGGCAACGTTTAACATGACTCAGACATGAAGCCCAAAATGCAGACGGCGATCATCAGCAGACAGAAATTTATATCGCACACAAAAAAAAGTTTACCCACAGTAATTTTCATGTGAAAACTTTTTTAAATGTGCCAAACTAGGACGATGACCATTACACATCGACCCCAACCATTCCTTCAGTCACAAATATCTGAACATATCGCAAAGTACTTATATCATTATAAAGCTTTTTAAGAGAGAAAAAAAATCATTTTAATATCAAAAAAAGTCCAACCTGTCCACATCACTTAGCTTTGAACTTGCTGGAGGAAGAACTTGGAACCAGAACACTTCAGTTCTGATGACATTGCCTTTTGTTCATGTGTGTGCTTTTCTACGGCGTTCTGAGGAGCGTGGGCCCTCACTGGCTCTATAGGAAAGTACAAACTTAAACTAAGTGCGACATCTTCAGCACAGCCGCCTGTTGAGGCTTTGCGTGGTAGCCATCTTGTAGGGCAGTTTTTTTGTTCCGCAGCGAAACCTCCTTTGTGCAAACCCTGTGGAACAAAGGCACTGGCCTACAAGATGGCATTCACGCAAACCCTTTATCGAGGAAAATAAGCATTTTCACTTGAATGGTCCAAGGCGTCAACTCGAATGTTAAGTATCCCTACCACGTTGTCTAACACAAAGCCCACAATAGTTCATTTCTGTTATGAACGGGTCGACTACTGCCATGTACATTGTACTGGGTTCCATCTCCCAACTCAAGAGTTTCATATATTTATGCAGAATTGCACTCTTATGTTGCAAGGTTTGAAAGCATAAGACCTACAGCCATGAGGATTCGAACCATCACACTGAAAGTCCAGTAGTTCTACCCACTGTGTGCATGTGAACTCCTAACAAGTTCCAAGTAAGCAGGACATGTCCAGGGGAAAAAAAGGAAAGTCGGACAGGAAAAGATGCAACTACAACATGCAAGAGGCCAGTCATCAAAAATAGACTGGTACCTGTAAAGTGGTGATCTTCACAGGAGCCTTCAAAAGCAAGCATTCTGGACCAAGACTGGTACAGACGCCTGACCAAAATAAAATTTTCAACAATACAGAATTTGGAAGATCAAATGAAGAAACAAATTCATTAGGTACGCAATAAACGGTGGCATCTTTGAACAACAAAGCTTCAGACAGAAATTTGAAAGCCTTTCTGACTGGAGCTATGCTGGTTGGAAATTGCCAAAAACAACCCTACAAAATGTGATGCTTACACAAGACAGGACAAAACTTACTTAACGGTCCAGTTTGACTCCAAGAGTAAAATTGTTGGCATCAAGGGTCTCTTCCTAAAAAAATCATGATCGACAAAATACATGTCAAGTCATGTAGTGCAGGCAACCAGTCAAGCATATGCACAAATCCACTGGTGTGGCTGGTTACTAGCAAAACCGACCTGCAGACAGTTTGTATCTACACAACATTGACGATAATTTTCTTTTTTCTCAAAAAACTTTGGCAGAGCCGGCCAATCTTCATGGCCAACGATGGTGAGCTTTCTGTTGTCATTACTTGAGCAAACCCGAGTGGTGCTGCCACAGGAATGACTGTTCCTTGATGTATTTGTGAATTCCTGACGCTTGAAGTTTACTTGTACGGAGCAGTGGATGACGCTCTAGGACTCTTCCTTGGAAGGCGCATCAAAGTCCTCTACCAGATCTACAGGGGAAATGCAAGAATGAAAGCCGAGTGATCAACGACAGTGAAACATTAAGCACAAAGTATTTCTTGAAGTGTGTTTTCTGGGTATGTCTGATCTAGGAAAGAACACTCAACTGGGAACTTACGGGGAAAAATGAGGAAACTTTCAACTGAATGGGAGTCTGTGTTGCTTTTTTCACACATGAAGTTGCCGACCCCGAGGCCTTGCAGACAGGCCAGATTTTCAGGAATTTCACGACCTGTGGTTCCCCCCTCCCTTTATTGTACCAATGCCCAAGACCTGGCCTGGCTCAGGCCAACCTGATTTGACCCTACCTGACCCAACCCTGATTCTTACCTGGCACATGCTCGTCATCCTCGTCGATGGTGTCTGCCTTGGTGTCTCCCTTCATGGCATCCAGAGGGCTGGACATTTTGTTTGCAAACTGACGGAGATCGCCTGTGTTTCCCTATTGGTTCAGCAGTAAAAAAAAACGTAACGGCCAATGAACCAAAGGGTGCTGAATATAACAAAGTTACAGAAGCAGAACGCAGAGACTATCAGTGAACTGAATTACCTTCTATTTCTTTCCAGATCTGTGATGACTCCACAAGGTTTTTAATACGAGTTCTCATTGGGTCTTTTCAACCAGCCACAAATACTACTTAACCTCAATTCAAAAGTGCGACACCTTGCTGGAAGCTGACACACGACTGAATTTTTTAAATGAGGAGATACGTGTACAAGGCCACGGCCATCTGCACAGAACTTTAAATCATCTCGATCTTGCACCTTCCGAGATCTTACCAGAGAAAAAAGTCCCCACCCTACACCGAAAAGTAAGAACATCCTTGAAACTGTTTCAAACGTAATCCTTTGAAATCCTACTCCCAAAATTCACTCCAACTCCCAACGGTGCCTGAAAAATTCCTCGGAAGTAGGACTGACAGATGTTAGGGTTGAGTAATAATGTTTTGAGGCTGATCAGAAATGTTTACAGACTCGTCACTGGAATCACAAATCCACTTTTTTCCCCATAGAGATCAATTCTGTTTTCCTGAGATGGAATTCCAGAAAAGCTCCCACCACATATAGAGTGACGTTCATACAGGAACTCTGGGTCTAGTGAGACTGCCAATTTCAAAACACTCTAAACATGGAGAATCAGTTATGCTACACAGCGATAGACTGATGTGACCCATCACGACAAAATGAGCATCAAGTCACATTCCGCTCTTTCCTATTTTGAAGGTTCAAAGTCAAATATTGAAGTGGAGGTCAATTTGGGGGTTTTGTAATATTTGGAAAGAGTAACCCGTCGACTGACTACTGACTTCCACTTATCGCTGGGTCATGTATTTGAAAATGTCCAGTTCTCAGCAATTTTGATGACAGTATTATTCTTGCCCGGTCAGAAACGTTGAAACAATGTCAGAAACAAAGATGCAAAGCTGCCAGAATAATACCACATTGTCACGTTATACTTTTCCCCAAAGTGTTCCCTGTACATACCATTGGAAAGCTCTCTTTCTGCTGAATTCAAACATACCAGTATCTCGGTTTATGAAAATTCCAACTTTCAGTTCATTTTGCGGTGACAAGTCACAAATTCGGATTCAGATTCGGATGCAGCATAAGTACTCACCAATTGGTTCATTATTCCGGGAAGCAACTCTGTGATTGGCTTAGTCTCACAGAGGCCGCTGACAGCAAACGTGTTGGCTGCCAGTGACGCCTGTACCTTGGGGTTGGTGAAGTGAAGAACCGTGCTGTCATCTTTGATCATGTTCACCTGAGAAAAAACGGAGGGAAAAGAAATGTCGAGAAGTGCTGCAAGTTTCAAAACCATGAAAACAAAAACATTCAAATCGGAATAGAGACAAAAATATGACGGGTTGTCAGAGCCCACAGCTGTGCAACGTAAGACGGAGCCCAAGAAGGTGTTGAAACCAACTACTTTTTGTACGTTACGAAGACCCCAAAATTTTGGTGGGAAAATCCCAGAGTTTTCACTGCTCTTATCCCTGACCATCCCCAATCAGCCAAACTCCAACAGCAGCATTTGTTGGAATCTGTTAGGTTGAGTACTGCACCGGTATACTGGCTGTGTTTTTATGTGGGATTAGGCACACCACAAATAAGCAGAGTCCAACTGTTGATGTGCATAGTTTACTGAGTGGTGTTGGGATTTGTGGAAGGTTGCTGGTAAATCAACCGAGGGAGTTGGGTTAACAGGGCAACTCTGGCCCAAAATTAAACAGACTCGTGCTTCCAGCATCATTCTACAGCAGAAAATGAAGCCTCCGTGAACTGTCAAAGTACCCTGCTCCACTGATCAATTCATGAAGTCTCGATGGTCGACAGTGATGGAAGCTGAGAATTTTTGGGTAGAGAAATCCAGTTAGACAGCGGCCCCGCCAGGCCTGTCGTACATACCTCCTCAATGCCCTGGATGGTGTTGACGCCCACCTTCTTGAGTTGGGACTGGACCTTCTTGTCGTCCGAGGCTGAGGTTCTGTGGACAACCTTCTTTTTTCTCCTGGCCGAGCCCTTACCCCCTATCCGCACCTGGTCCACCTGCTTCTTCAGCTTCTCTGCCGTGTTCATGACGAGTTAAAACTTGTAGCACACCTTAGACTTCGAAAAGATGGTCAAAGAACATGAATGTAATTGTTCCATGCTTTTATCAGAAAATCACCACGCTTAGGCAAAATTCTGTTTCTTTCTGTGCCAATGTAGACTCTTTTCCTTACAAATCCTCCCAATCCATGACAAAACCCAATAACTCAGGCCAAAACCGTCACTAAAATTGTGGAAATGTAAGCTTGCGAAACAAACCTGTGCAAGCACACAACACAGGAAAGTATTCCACTTCTGGGACCAATTTACAACCAAGAACAAGAACAGAATAAGATGAACGTAAGATCTGATGTAGGATTTTATATAAAACAATGACAGACATATCTGGAGTTCTTTCGAGCAGTTGGCACTGCTGGAATTCTATCTTGACACCCGCGCATGCATTAATCAAGACCAAGCAACATTCATTCAGTTGACCTGTGTACGTTAACATGTGATACTTACAGGTCTAATGTTTTTTTCAAGAAGTTTACTCATGGATATAATCCAGAGGGGGCCATACAATAATTTTCCGTCGTTTACAGACTTATCAGCAAATCGTGCGGCAAGATCTACCGACTGTGCAGATATCGACCAATCGTGCAAATCCAGTCTTCCAGTCTCATTTAAGTTAAACGTCTGCATATGACTGCGACGAGTAGATAAGTGTTAGTATGCTGGTCCCAATATACATGCATGCATGGCGAGATGGTCCACACAAATGGACATGAATAAATGAGCGAGGGCACTGTTTATTTGGAAACTCATTTTCTTAATTAGGAAACTGTGATTGAAATTCGTCTTTTTTGGCACGCTGTAGCCTGGCAACATTTTTGAAATTTGAAGTCAGCATTGAATCCATTGAAATAAGGCACAAATAAGAACAAAGACATTACAAAAACATAAATTTTAAGCTTTTCAGTTAAAATCCACATGCATTTTTGTGCACAAAATTATCACAGTTTGCCATGTTTGCTCCGTATACTATTACATGTGTACAAAAAAGTCAAAACATCCGCACTTCAAATCGATTTTTCTTTGCTTTGCAGAGTCCGATGGAATCTAAATTTATATCATAATATTCCTTGCGACATCCTCTTCAAGAGAACACCAAAAATAAAGCAAAAAATTCAAAAATTTCGAAGCCTCACCATATGATTATGCACACTAAACCATGTAAAGTCTAGGCTATATGCCTACGCACGTGTGGTCGTTACGAACAATTTGCCATGTTTGTCCTAATTAAGGAAAAATGTCAATAAATTAAACGTGACTCTGAGCACAACGGACAAAAAGACACACACTGATATGTACCATGAAAAAGGGGGATATCAGAAATGCCACAATATCCTTAACAATCCAACTTACATGTAAGATCGGAAATCTTTTTCTCAGCAGTGAACGAATTCTCTGCCCACGAGGATTCGCAGCTCGTAACGTACATGCGCAAATATGACTGCCAGTGATATGACGTCACGGTAAAAATTTGTGAAGCATGCAACAGTCGTCGGATACACATTCTTTTGTTTAATAACATGTTTTAAAAAACAAAATTATACTTTGTAAATACTAGTAACAATCAAGATGTTTGTAATCAAAACAAAAATTTATTAATTTGAAAACTTTCTGAATTCACGATGAGATCATAACTTGGCTGAATAGAAGTAATATTTGGAAGATATCTGGATAAAAATTGTGGATGCAGGAGGGGGTAAAGCTTCTCAATGGAATAGCCGCCTGCCTTCAAAGCGATTTCCCGCGAAACCATTACATTTGCTGTTTCGCTTCAGAGCAGCGGTGAGTGAATGTCAAACGTTGGATCATCTTTTCCAAGATTAAAATCTCTCAAGATGTCCGAACCCGGTGCAAGCACTTCTCAAAATGAAGCCAGGTAAATGGATCTTTAGTTCCTACAAGTATTGATGCTTAAAAACTTGCATTGTATGCTTTTAAAGAGCCTCTTTTGGGCGACCTTTTTTTTTCCATTGTTCAACTGGGATTGTTTGTACGTGCAAATTAGCGCAGTTAAATGCAGTGTGCGCTGTGGATGGCATGCGCGCCGCGGTTGTATTGTGGAATATGGCATTTACTTTGCACGTGTTCTTACTGCATTCATGCGCGGGAACAAATTACGATATCCCGCGGCCACCATTTTTACGTGTAACTAAAAAATCTGGGCCCCCAAGACTGACGGAAAAAACCTGATGTCATTTGAAGACACAAGTTTAGAAAGTGACAAGTGGTGATATTTAATTTAATTTTGAAAATGTTGAAGCAGTTGGGCCTAACTTAATTAGTAGTGCAGGCCAGGGCCCAGGCTCCATGGTCAACTTGAATAGTTGAAGTTGTTTTCTTACCTCCAATGACCATGGTTTTACATCAAGAATTGTTTCTAGAGGATAAAGTTAAATGCAGGTTGGGAGTATCAACCTTTCGTTGAGAACCTTCAAATTCATTTGGTTAAATACCGGTAGGGCCTACTATAACCATCTTAATAAATGCTGTTGAACCGTTGTGAACAATTTCAGTGTCGTGAAATTTTATCTGAAATTCAAAAATGGCCGCGTCCAGAAATTGGGCAAAAATTCAGCTGACAGGGATGAGTGTTCCTAACTTGAAAGAAAGAGTTTCAGTATAAGGACACCACTAACTTCACACCCTGTGCAATAAACCCTAGTGTTTTCTAAGTAAACAACTTGGTTTTTCCCTCCTAAATTGAGCTTTTCTGGACATGTTTTTGCTTTCTGATGTCACTGTAGGGAAAAATTACTGGTGTCCGTATATGAAACTCTTCTCAACTTGAAAATGAAAAATTCTTGGTAAACCCCATTCATTAAAGTTGATAAATTGTTACAAATTAGTATTGACTTCACTTACCTACCAAAGAAGTTTGTAGAAAATGATTTTCATATTTTGGGGTGCATTTTAAAAGAGTTCAATTTGCACGTCAGAAAAAAAAATTGGTTCCAATTTGCTTCTCTGAGACCAACATCAAACAAATCGAGCCAAAATAAACTTTAATCAAAACTTTGTAATGAGTGAGTTAACTCAGGATTTTTGATTCCGAATACTGGGAATATTGTGGAGTACCTTGGCCTTGTGGTTAAGAGTATTGGATTCGCAGTCGGTGGGTAAAGCTGCAGGTTGCAGGTTCGAATCCAGCTTGGGGTCATGGTGCATGTGCCCTTGAGCAAGGCACTTTGTCACTCATTGCCTCTCTCCGCCCAGGAGTAATTGGGTACCTGTGAGGGCAGAGATGGTTACTGTGGTTGATTTAGCCGCTGTATCGAGCTGTATACTCCCCATCGAGCTGAGATGGTATTTGGAATGTTTCATGGGCCCGATGAACAGGGGTTATAATGGTGCACGGCACTTTGATCTGTGTTAAAAGCGCTTTATAATTATTAGTTTGATGAAATTTCACACATAATGAAAGTTGAGGGGAAAATGTGCTGCTCCAGCAAGCCATTTGAGGTGAAAAGTTGTGCCCCGTTTGGGTACATCTGCAGCCCTAAGCCTTAATTTTTTTAATATTGCCAAAGTTGGCATCAGAGGAAGCAAATTCCAACTGGCCTGTTTGTTCTGTTGAGCAGAATTGGTCGATCTCAGACAGAATTGGTCGATCTCAGGCAGAATTGGTCGATCTCAGGCAGAATTGGTCGATCTCAGGCAGAATTGGTCGATCTCAGGCAGAATTGGTCGATCTCAGGCAGAATTGGTCGATCTCAGGCACAATTGGTTGATCTCAGGCAGAATTGCTCAATCTGTGCAGGATCAGTCAGCCTTGCTCTGTGATCTGTCAAATTGCCTTTTCTTTTTAATCCATGATTGCTTGTGGAAGATTGGTTTAAGAAAGGGAAATAAAGTTGTGCATTTCGTTCTGTATTGACTGACGGTGCAATGCAATCATACTGATCTATGAATCACACCCAACAACTTCTCAGTTTAGCATCCTAAAGAAAACTGAATTTACATCATGGGTGAAAATAGTCAGAGTTCTTACAGTGTGTCAGATGCTTTCAAAGGTTGTTAACTAAAATTCTGTTAAGTTGGGTCATGATTACGCCCAGGCCCCAATCCAGGAAAGGAGGAAGGAACATTATGCATTTGAAAATTGGATTTTAGGAGAAATCCTGGACTGCTTGAATGTGAAGTCTTATTTCCACATTGTATGTGTTAACATAGTTTTAAGCGATACCAGCTAGATTACATTGGACTGCACCGTAAATCTCTTTGATGGGTTTTTCTGTTCCCTTCGTTTAGCTCCGACATTGATGTAGAGGCAGCCACCCTCTTGTCGCAAGGCCGACGGAATCTGCTGGTGGGCGATCCGCCCAGTGCTGTGCAAACCCTTCAGGAGGCCTGCCAACTGCTGTGAGTGTCTCTCAAATCCCCCGAGGCAGAATATTGATATTTCTTCCCCCCCCCCACAAATAAGTCTTTTCTGTCTCATCTGCTCCTCTTGGATCTTGGAATGAAATGTTCAGATGCTGTGAGCCCAGTGTGCTGGGATAATTATAAGATATTGGTAACCCCTGAATGACAGATACTGTAAGATACTATGCACCTGGTAAATGCTCGGATTTATTTATATTATCCCGTTAAACTGCTACAGCTATCTGTCGTGAGCAGAAGCACCCCTGATCAGTTGAAAAGAGCGGTGTTGGTCGGGAGTGTTCATTTTGTTGGTAGTGATACGACGGTGACATGTTTCCTAGTCGTTTGTGAACCAGTGAAGTTCCGTTTTGACCATTAGCCTCCGTTGCTAAAAATAATAGCGCCTTCTCGTGGTCGAGCTCGAGGTCCATTGTACAGACACCGAGTGTGGGTCCTTTTTTTTTGTGCACAATAACAGGAGCGCTAAGTATGGGGAGCTGGCCGTGGAGTGCGGCGAGAGCTACTACTACTATGGCTTGGCCCTGCTGGAGCTGGGCCGCATGGAGACGGGTGTCCTTGGCAACGCCTTGGACGGGGTGCCAGAGGATGAGGACACCGAGGGGGAGGAAGAGGCTGCTGCTGGGAACATTGAGAACCCAGACAAAGTAGAAGGTAATTGCCCACCAGTCGCAGAGATGAGACGAGTTGGTCACCAGACAGTTGAAAGCCAGTCCTAAAGTTGATTACGTCAGTCGCAAGTCAGTCACAAGTCAGTCAATCCAATCACAAGTCAGTCACAAGTCAATCACAGGTTTCTTGCTTGTCAATCACAAGTCAGGTTTGGCTTCCATTTTGTTGTCTTGAACAACATGCCGTGCTGATTTCTACTGAACGACCATTGTTGTTTGTGTGAATCCTGCATCATGTACATTTATTTACCATTGTGTTTGGAAATGATTATAGGTTGCATTTGTCCAAGACCAGCTGTGGTTGTGTATGCTTTGTTGGTCGTAATGTCCTGCTGTCTGCTTTTTGTGCTTTCTTTCTTGTCTGCTGTGTCACCAGCTCTTTTTCTTTGCTTTGAAATTAATGACTTGGTCTGCTTCCCACCATGTTTGACTTGGTCTACTTCCCACCCATTTTTCTTTCTTGACCTGATAGCTCTCTTTTTATAGACGATTAACTATTGTTCAAGTTAAATTCACCAAATAACATTTGTATGCCCATCACAGAGCAAAGGCTGTTCCCTGAGTTTCTTGTGGAAGGACGATGAGGCCCGAGTCATGACTTCATTCGAAAAAAAAAATGTTTCAAATTAAAATTCTCCCCCAGAGAAAGAGAGGGAGAAGATCTTCCACGAAGTTCAGGAGGCCCTCGAGGCCAAGAAAAATGAGGCCGAGGGCGAAGAGAGCGAGACGGACAAGGAGACCGCATCCGAGAGGGAGGACGCCCAAATAGAGTCCGAGAAAGAGGAGCCACCCCCGGCTAGCGATGGAGAGAAGGCCGGGGAGGCGCCTTGCCCCAAGGAGGAGAAGATTGTTGAGAAAGGGGTCGAGGATCAGGTCCAAAAGAAAGATGGAGAGGAGGCCACAGAGGAGAAGCCAATGGAGACGGAGGATGTGGAAAAGAAAGATGAGGCCAAAGGAGATGGGGATGAAAAGGAAGACGCCAAGAAAGACGGGAAAGGTAGCCTCCCCGACGATTCCTTGGCAACGTTCTTGTTTTCATTGGTGTTTTGGACTCAATCCCCCATTTTTAGTTTGAACCACAGGGAAGATGGATGCTGCACAACTTTACACTGTTGATGACCACCTAATACCAGTTTGTTTATTTTTGGAGGAAAGATCATTTTTCTGATTTCATTTATTTCTTTTTTACGAATACCTAATACCTGTGTCATGTTTGGTCATTTTTCCTTTCATTTTTCTTGTCTGACTGGTTATTTGTTTTTGTTTGCGTGGTTGTTTGTTCAGTCCAATTCAGAATCTAAATTCTACTAATAAATTTTAAGAATTTGCACTCATTGCTGAGCACTTGATGTTAACATCAACTTTTTTCATTTTTACTTTTTGCTCAAGGTTCATTGTTCGAGGTACTTTGATTTCTTTATCCCTGATCACCAGGCATCAAACTCTCAAGAAAGTCTGCACAGCCTTAGTAACCCTGGCGAACCCAAATCAGGCAAAATCTAGCGCATTGGTTTTGGATGATATGTTTTCAATGTTTTCAGTGGATGCAAGACAACAGAACATTGATGCTCTTACTTCACATGCGGCTCAGTGTCCAATGGAAAAGTTAGACAGTGGGTAGATTAAAAGTAATTCCAAATGAAAATTCCTTGGACATGGATCTTCAGTTGCAATAGCCTTTGACCCACCACAGAGTACTATCTTAATAAATATCTGGTTGTCAAGTTTCGTTCCATCAAGGCTTCTCCAAAGGCACGTCTTAGCATGATTGTCTCCTTGAAAGGCACAGGCAAATTCTCGGAGGCACAATCAACAGACTTATTAAAAGCAGATCTGCAAGTTTCGTAGAACTCTAATAATAGAAACCATTTTTTTTCTCCAGAACTGCTCATTCTTTCAGCTCGGGTCAGAGTGTGCCTAAAGTCGGCCTTTTGGAACGAGAATCGGCCACTCTCAAAAAGTTGTAATTCATCTTCCATGTTTGGAATCAATTGTATTTTATGCTAGTGCCTTCTTCCCGGATTGTGGGCTCTGTGCAGGATCGAGAGAGGGCGCTTTCTTACCTAGCAGTGATATCTCTCAGGCCTGACATTGGGGACGCACTTACTCATGCCCGTTATGAGAGAACACCATATCAATTTTCATCAGAAATATGCAGACCCTAAAGACCTCTGCGTAGCCACCGGCACACGGCGTTCAGCCTGTCACCTTGTCACCCTTGAAGGTGTACTTTGGTTTTCATTTCCACTCAATCCCACTGTAGCTATGGTGCATGGTTGGCTCCGGCCCATACAACCCAGACTAAGGGAAGACACAAGACTTCTGATCGTGATTTGTCTTGATCTCTGACAGATGAGGGAGCAGGGCCGAGCGAAGAAAAAGCAGATGGAGCAGACGGGGAGGGAGAGGTAGAGAAAGGTGGAGACGAAGGGGAAGAGGAAGGAGCCAAAGCTGATGGTGATGAGGGGAAAGTAAGACGTTTTGATCAACGTTTTTTGCTCAGTTTTATACACAACACATTAGAGATCTCGATTGAAAACAGTATTTGCTTGTTGTCATGGAAACAACCACTCAGCTTGATGCGTCATAGGTCTTGTTCTCATGCCCCAAATCTTACAGCACAACATTTGATGGGGTGAAAATCCTAAATACCTGCTAGGTCGAGGCTGTGGGCTGGCACAAAAGCTGGGGTTGGAGAAATGCCAATGCACAGTCTCTTTAAAACACCAAGACAACCAATCTGGAATTAGTTTGTTGTATTCTAACATCAAAAGCGGATCTTAATTCCAGGAAATAGACTAGCACCTATTTTGCCAAATATATAATTTTCACTGGGAATTCCTTTTCAAATTTGATGTTTCTCTTACATGAGGATGAAGATGTGTCCAACTTCCAGCTGTGTTGGGAGATGCTCGAGCTTGCCAGAATCATCTTTTCAAGGTAAAACAGATGATGAAAAGTGGTTGCGTTATCGCCATGGAAACCCCGCATCACTGAATTTGTGTTTAATTTATTGAGGTATCAAGAAAGCACAAACACAAAGAATGTGGTTTGGGATTGCTGAAGAGCGACAGGTCTCGCTGGGTTCTGTTAGCAAATATCTGAAGGATGTATAGGAAGTGACTACCTTCTGACCCCTCCACAGACAAGACGATAACGAGTTCAAACTGAAAGTGGCCCAGGTTTACCTGAAGTTGGGAGAGCTGGGCTTGGAGACAGGGAACTACGCCCAGAGCGTGGAAGACTTCACTCAGTGCCTAGCCAGGCAGAAGGACCTGCTGGACAGTGACTCCAGATTAATGGCTGAAACGTATCCTTGCTGTTTTGCAGTTTAATAACCCTGCAGCTCTTGTAGTTTTTTTTTAGCAAGACTCTTAAGCATTCACCCTCCTTTGCAAAGATGCATTCTCAACTAAGTCGCCCTATCTGTCAAATGATTCCTGTGTGTGTGTGTGTGCTGGGGCGTATCAAGTGGAAGGAATTTTGGACTGGCTGTTTCAGTAGATGGAGGGTTAAGAGGAATGCAGAAAAAAGTCATCTCCTGCTAGGAACTTCTAGAAATCCGGCCAAGCTTGATCTAGTTCCAACATTTTTTCCAAGGCTAGAGCCGATTCATGCCTTGAACTTGGTGTCACTTGAAAGTCACATTCCTCTTTTGGCCAATTAAAATTACATTACATGATGTGACAAATTTGCATTATTTGCATTGAAAATGAACTTGCTCTTGGTTTAGACACAAACCTTCTCCATTCTCGGGAAATTCTTACTGCCTTTTGAAAGTGTCACCTTTGAGAAAAGTATCCACCTGACTTACAACAGTGTCTTGCTGATGGTTTCCTTAACCCATTGTCTATCCAAATCAGGTACTATAACTTGGCTTTGGCGTTTTCGCTTGACCAGAAGTTTGATAAGGCCATTGAGGTGAGCCCTCATCTTATCCGTTGAAGAATATGTCATTAGTTTCCTATGTAGCACTGGATTTTGTCCCAAGTCTGACGACTTAGAAGTAACAATATTGTAAGAGTTGGACATGAAAGTTTACAGAAATCTTAGCAAAGTCTAAAGGTGCCTTTCCACGTGTGCGTCAACACTTGCGCCAAGCTTTGCGTATCTGTCAAAATTGCTCACTGGGTGATTTTGACAGCCGAACACATTACACATGTGTGTGTTATGTTTTTTGTGTCTGTGAAAGTGAAGCGCATGAACACATCGCGTACGCAACACACCCAAAAAATGTACATATGTAAAGACACCTTAAGGTTAGGTCATTGCATACGTAAGAAGTGTTTTTGTTGAATGCAAAAGAGTAGGCGAAATTCACAAAGGATACATAATATTTTTTCGCAGATATTAAGTAAAACAGTCAATGTTTCCTTTTTTAATTTTATCCATTATTTGGAGCAGTGTGGGTAGAACTGATATGAACTTTCTGTCTGTTTTTTTTTTTTTTCATCTTTTTTTTCTCCAGAACTTTGAGCAGTCTGTAGTTGTGATTGAAAACAGAAGAGCTTCACTCGGCAAAAAGACGGAAGCAGGTAAGACATTAATAGCAATCCGAGAACCTATCGTGCGCAGCTGGTAAACAGAACAAAATTATCAGCAAATTAAAGTTGTAAGCAAGTATGAGCAGGGAACCAGTCACTGGTTTCACACATTCATTGGCAGTTTGGGCTGGTGACCCACTTTTGTCTGATCTGATTACTGCCTTGAATTGGTCCGTCAGTGACCAATCAGCATGTCACCTTATGACCCCAGTTACTTTATTTAAATATTAACATTCTAAGAACTAGGCATTGCGACTTGTCCTCAAGAACCATGCTAATCAATTTTTGAAGAAGGTTACGTCATTGAGGCGTGGGCCTCATGGCCAATTTAGGAGCTACAAAGCCTTTCTAGATTCCTGTCTTCAATTAGATTTCCTTTTTTACTGATAACAATTTTTTTTTACAGATAAACCTGTTTCAGAAGAGGACTTGCAGCAAGACCAGAAAGAAATTAAGGAACTGGAAGCCCTCATCCCTGAAATCAAAGCCAAGGTGGGTTCCCCAAACCACAGGAAAAGCAACCTGACACCAGTCTAGGCTGTGGACTTCCTGCATAAATTGCGGCCTCGCTGGTGGCAAAGAGAGAGTTTGGTCGACTTCCGAACGCCATGGCTGCGCCATGACCCTGTGCTTTTGCTCATTTGCATGAAAATTGCGTCTTGCACACTCTGTCAAGCTCATGCCAACAAGCGTGCCCAGGTAATGGGTCAGTCCCTTGAGATGTGACAGCCAGATAAAACGTACCGTCTCCCTTACACAGAGAACTGGTATCGCAGATTTGCCAATCTCAATGATGGTGGCACAGACTGCGTGCAGCATACTTGCCTATGATGTTAAACATAATGCACACAGCTTTCACAGTTTCCTATATCCTGACGTCGCACTGCCGTATTAAATGTTTCACTGGTTAGGCAAGTTCATGCCATGAATTCCCCATTTTGTAATCAACAGATTGAAGATGCCAAAGCAGAGAAGACGGCAGTCGGACAGGCCATGCGATCAGCCGCTGCCGAATTTGTAAGTGGTTCCAGACAACGGATTTACAAAAGAAGTCATTGATAGGTTTCTGTCTTTAATGATCAGCTTTGTATCTGTCATATTTGACTTTGTATTGTCCTGTTGTAATCCGTGTTTCGAATTATTTTTTGGAGTGAGAACAAAATCTGGTTGTCCAACGTTTTGTCATCGATGTTATTCTTTTAGGGTCTGGGGTCATCATCATCGAGCTGCTTTCCCTGTAGTAGTTCCAACGTCACAGTCCAACCTGTAAGTACCGGGTTAATTCATATCAATTCTTCCAATTTGCTGCACTTGATCCAATGCATCTAGTATCGTTTACTCACCCTAATCCAAGGGCGCATACTACTTGCCATAGAGACTTCGGCGCTTTTTGTTGTTTTTTTTGGTCCAACTTTGTGCATTGCTGGTGCCTTGATCGTTGCGGCTTAGACAAGTTTCAGACGTGAGTGTGCTTGCAAGTATTTTTTTTTTTTTTTGCTTTAGAGGCAGGTATTCTGGTAAGCAGCTCTGGCCACGTTCAAGAAGAGATCACTTGCCCCTGGAACCCTGTGCAGGAGTTATCTCCCGGGTACCAGGCAAAATTGATCAGTGGTCAACATGTGGTCATCGCTTCATCTTGCCCTTTGCTGTTCTTTTGGCCTGCGCTGCAGGTCGCAAAAAAGTGCAGAATGAAATACTTACAAGAAAATACGTCAGTGTCTGCTGTCTTTCTTTACTTGCAGATCGCAGTCAAAAAGCCCGCCGACACAAAACCAGACGACGTCTCTCATCTTGTACACAGAAAGGTATACTGTTAAACTAACATTCAACTTTCAAGCCGCAAGATTAGCCGCGAGCAAGTGAGACGGATGGGTCTTCGGGGTACATCCCTCCTTTTGCTGTCTCTTGACTCTTCACTTGCTTGTGCTTCTATACGCTTATGCTTCTCACACCTTCCCATCAAACAGAGCCAGAATTGTAGGAATTTTGGCCTTTAGAAAACTATTTGAACCCGATGAGCAGCACACACCTCTGCATACAATCAAACTTGTTGACCTGTCAAAGTTTATCAACAGTTGTGATTATTAAGTTACAGTGGTTATCTTTTATAGTTCGTCAGCAATTTTTTTTTTTAAGTGCATCACTTTCCAAGCTGGAATACTGTGCCAACTTTACGAAATGAAGAGACGCAAACTTGAAGTAAAAAAGTTCTGAAAACAGTCAGCTTTGATTTCTTAAGATGCACTTTGGGATTGATTTCTTGCAAATTTTTATTCTTGTTCATGTAGCTAGCTTTTACTGAGCCACTCGTTTCCGCCACTCATTACTTTGACCTTTGGTTGTGACCCGTGCATTGACCCCTCTGTGACCTTTGCCGTCAGCAGAGGAAGCCGGAAGAGGAAGCAGAGCCGGAGGCCGCTGGGAAGAAGAGTCGTCAGGAGGAAGGAGCTGGGGATGCGTCAACGGCGAATGCCGTAAATGGAACCAACGGCGTGGAACAGACGGCCGTGAACGGTGACGCCAAAGAGTCACCAGAAAAGCCAGTAAGTATGGGGAGGGGGGGTGTCATCGAGAAATTATTATTGGACCCCGATCCAGGGTCTTCTTTCAGAGACCCGAGTTGAAAATGGCACAGACAGCACATGTCATATTAGCCAGTAACCTGTTTTGGCTACTACGGCTTGTAGTCTTAGCATGTCTGTATGCTGTGCTAGGATTCTTACGATCGCTGTGGGCGTAGAGCCCAGCAGTGAATCATGAAATGAATGTCCCCAAGCAAGGGCGTAGTACTGCAATCATCTCCACTCAACTGCAGGTTGTAGCCTCCACATGCTTGTAGCTGCAAAATAAAGGTTGTGTTTTACTCTCCATGGGTTTTTTAAAGCGGAAATTACAAGAAGACCATTTTGACCCAGGATAATTGGATCTCATCTTGATTGGAACACAATGAGCCTTGGGAAGGTTCTTGGAAAATATTCATTACCATTTTTAATAGCAAGTTCTCATTTCCCATTACTGAGTGTTTAAACATTTCTATTCCCAAATTTTCCAATACAGGAAATCAAGGTCAAGCAGGTCGAGCAGACAACCAACGGTTCCACAGAGACTGCTGCCATGGAAACGTAAACTTGTAAAAGACTTTGTACTGTCCTGACTTTGTACCCAAGTCCTGTTTTTTTCCCAGTATCTACTCAGAAAGGAGAAATTGGATTTTTTTTTCGGTTTCTGTAGATATACTGGTTGTTAGGTGTGTTTTCTCCGGCAGATTTTTGACTCACAACTCAGGAACATTTATGCCCTACTTGCTTGAAAAGAAATATGCAAAGTTTTGATACCTTGGTAAGAAATCTCTACATATACAGTGTATGCGAAATCTCTATCTGTTGCCACAGAACCAGGACACAGTAGTAAAAAACAAGTGTCTCTGATAATTAGAAATAGATCAGCCAGTGGTAGGGTTCAAATTCTTCTCATGGGATTATCAGGAGGAATAACACCAAATATATATATTACTTGGTCAGCTGGATTAATTGAAGAACTCAAAAATTAAGAACAAAATTTTGTAGCTATTTTGTCCGGCGTTTGTAGGAGTGGGTCTCACTTGATCCTGAAGTATTCACAGATAAGTAAAATATTCCCCCATCTGTAGCTTATCAATCAACATCCCAAGTTCCAAAATTAATTTTGACCCGAGTGTAAAAAAATCAAACTGCAGAGAGTTTTTCTTAACACTTTGGTGCCAGTTGTTACCTGGCTTTGATACAACACCATTTCACCTTAAAAGAAAACTCTTCCAATGGTTTCTTCAAGTGCAGCATTCCTGAAACAGTTACCAATTCTCCCAACCAACCCAAAGGTGTAATGGTAATCAAAACAGAAAAGTGTATATAAGTTACACCCTAATTTGTGTTTTTGTGCTTGGAAATGTTTTGAGTGTGCAACACTTAAAAATTGTGTTCTTTCAAAACGAGGTAGTTAGAGGCACGGGCTGAATAATTTTGGTTGGTTGCATCCCTTCCATATAGCTATATTTTTTGAGTTTCGACCTAGCTTTTGGGAAATTCTTGTACACAGCAAAAAGAAAATGATTGTTTTTTGTGACTTTGATATTTGTAGTGTGCTGTACATATGTACCAGCTTATCGTTGACTTGGACAACACTTGTTATGAAAGTTTACTCCAGTGTTTGTTATTTTGCATAGCTTTGTTCCGTTAACAGTTGGAAGCCGCTTCAAAACCACTGTTGATGTTGTCGGGAATGGAAATAAAGAAGTGAGCATCGTTAAATAGCTGAAACCACAGCATCTTGACTCTTTCGCATTGTGCCTTGCAATCCGTGCAGAAAAATTATCTTATGCAGAAAAGGGGTACATTTTTAAATAAATGGTAGACATCAAAGAAAAGTGGGTGAGAAAAAAGAAAACACCATTTTCTACGGAATATTTTCGGATGTACTAAGTGATTAATTTTTTTCTAACAGCAGCATGTAAAAGTTTAAACAGAAAAGATTGACTGTTCGTGTAGATGGGGCTCCCAGGCAGATGGCAAATTTTGAAATCTCCAAATTTTTGAAAGAGTCAGTGGTTAGTTGAACTATCTTGGGAAAGTTGAACAACTTATAAAAAACCTTAGAAACACAAAAATACACACAGCTGCACGTAGGTCATACTTGCCCTTTAAAAAAGTTTATTAGTATTAAATTTAGTGATCCACACATTGTGTGTCTCAATTTGAGAGCTGTTTAACCACTAGCTACTGGGGAACCCCATTTTGAGCACCATGGGTTTATACACAGCCGGGGTGCCCAAAATGGGACAAAAGAGCTGGTCCATGTAACAAAAGACCTACTCGAAACAAAAAACCTGCTGCTGGGAATTGCCATCATTTTTCGGGTTGCATTTTTTTAAAGGTAATCTGTCACGGTTTTTGAACAGTATACCACTGTTTTGGGCATAGCACGCCCACGGATTAGCACCGCAGACAAAAGTGCTCCAGGGCCCCATTGATGAGCGACACAGCACCGCTGCATGCTAATCCTGCCACGCTTGAAAAGATGTCACTCGCAGTCACTGGGGACAAAGGAAATTGCACAGCACCTCACAATTCTGTCAGCATAGCGTAGCCACCAAACAGTCATTCGTGTGGGTGTAAGCATCCATTAAATGAAATGGTAAATTTTTGAATTTTGAAAACTGAAAATCTTGAAAATCGTATGTGTGCACTGCGCTTATTAAAAGCACCCGGCAGCATGTGGTTAAAGGCTGCTCTACGCTGAGGCAAGTCCAGCATGGAAGTTCCTGTTCCACACAGAGGAACTAAGTCGGGTTGATGCCTAGTTGTTTCATTTTCTGCCTGTGGTGCTGCGAGGTCTTGGCGTACTTGGACTTTGCAATTATCAGTGGCACCGTTTTGGCACTTAAGAACAGTCTATTCCTGAACTCGGTTAGGCCGAACGCTTGCACAAACTCCTGGCCAGTCTCGCGGTCGGTTGGCTGAGATGGCCCGGATCGGCCGGCGACATTTGAGGCGACAGTGGCCAGGACGAATCCCGTCATGAAGGCATCGTACCCTGCCCTGTGGCCTCCTGTCTGCTTGGGAAGCTTCTGAGGACTTGCGGCATCCCTCTGTCCCAAGGAGGTACTGCTGTCCTCATTTCCTCCCTGGTCAATTTTGAGTATGTCTGCACCCTGGCCTCTTCCATATGCTGATTTGGGTTCACTGTCTTCTCCATGACTGTTTGATTCTTTCTTCTCATCTATCTCGTCTTGATCCTTTCCAGTATCTGCCTCGTCTTGATCCTTTCCAGTATCTGCCTCATCATCATCGTCCATCTCTCTGTCACCATGGCAACTGTCATCCTCATCCTTGTCCTTTTTTGCATTTGGGGACCCATCCTTCAAGTCATATTGTCGCTTTTGTCGCTTGCGCTTGCGTTTCCTCTTCTGCCTCTCCTCTCGCTGGTCATCAGCGTCTTGGATGGCATCCGGGTCATGTGACTTGGGGCACCTGATACCGTTCTTGCAGTGTCCATGTGCCTGGAAGACGATACAATGCAAATGTTGCAATAAGCCCATCCCTGAAGAATTTGGTCAATGCACGACTAGTTTTTGGATGGCGGGACTAACACGGCAAAATTTCCTTCAAATTTCCAAAATCTGACACTGTGAAGCAAACCAATCACACATTCTGTGTACTACAACTTGTAACATCCATTCACAGCATCTGATCCTGCAAAACCCTACAAAACCTGTTAGATTGTAAAGGATCTGGGACTACCAGGAGGTTCTGGGGACAGTAAGGAACTCACAGCATAGGTTTCACACAGCTCAACTGTCTTCCTTTCTTCCCCCCTTGCCCCGCCCCTGATGGTGAAGGACGGCGGCAACCCACACCGGTGGAATCCCACTGAGGACGAATTCTCAAACTGGCAGAACTCCATGGCGACGTGCTGCTGCCCTCTGGTGGCCAGGTGGGCATTAGCCCTTTGACTGCATGCAGAAAACACGACATGTTGTCTTCAGAGGCAATAAACCAGTTGGGCCTTGGCAAGCTTTGGTGAAAGGCCCTCAATTTCATCACATCTAATTCTGGTCTTAGGGCCATTTTTCCAATAATTTTGCTCTAAAGAAAGACCCAACTGAACTCTTTGTTTTGATGTATCCCTCTCTTGGAATCCTGATAAAAATAGACATGATGTAGGTGATACATCAAATTGATTTCCAGTGAGCAAGGTTCTTCTCAAGGCCTTCAACCCAAAAGTGGCTCTGGCGACTTTGATGCAGCATAAACCCACAGCTTATTAATGCACATGCATCCTACATAACCCCTTACACAGGAAGGGAATGGGCAATTTTATTTTGCAAATCTCCTTGAGATTTATAATCCATTATGTTGCGTCCCACCTCTTCCTGAAGGCGTACTCCAAGTATGACGCCGGCATGCGGGCCTCAAACTCAGCCAGGAACTTGGTGTCGAAGATCCCCGCCGGGAAGATCTCGCAGAGGTCTGAGATGAACTGGGGCAAAGCGGTCGGCAGCTGGCTGTAGAGATTCTGGTAGAGGAACACCAGGTCCACCAGGCCATTGTGGAAGACCACAGGCTTGGAACTCTTTACCAGCTCACTGAAGAGCGCCCTCAAGGTTTGGCTGTCCTCAGCTTCTGTCTCCCCTTCCTTGTTTTTTTAAGGGGAGAAGAACACAGGAGCAAAGGTGACTGACCTGAGAGATGACAGTTCAACACTAGGATAACCGGAGTTCTCAAACACCAACTCTCATCAGTGCACTGAAATATTTCCAACATCTGCAACTTTAACGCTAATAGGGATTAGATGTCACGTAGACATCATAGTTTTCATTGCATCTTGTCATATTTCGGTATAAGCACCTCACAACCACCTGGCATCAAACATCCTACAAAAGCATGTTTTATTCCAGCCAAAGAGAATCCTCAAATCAGCAAATTTCTTGACACTACACAGAAATTTGATTTGCGTTCCTTAATCATAGACTCAGCTCGGATGAGACTCGTTCTAACCCTTTTTACAGACTACACAATGGAAACACTGCAATTGCCAGGTGGTCAATCTCGCTCTGCCTCATAGCCAGTGCTCGCTATTACCTTATCCACACCTCTACAGTAAGGCACTCCAGAGGCATACTGCTTGTTGAAATCGAACCCATGATCAACCAGGAACTTAAGGGATCCTGGCTCAACGACGTAATCCTCCGAGCACAGCGTTGTGATGTTGAAGGTCTGTGCGAGGAAACGCAACCCAAGGTCCTTGCTCTCCATTGGCTGTGGCCTCACTTTGAAGCAGGAGATGCCCAGAGACAGGATAGATCTCGTCTTTGCTACTTCTGCCAATGAGTGGTAACGTTCCTCCATGGATCTGTGACAATTTGAACCCAAACAATGCTAACTAATTCAAGCATTGCTGAAATGCTCATAAACCGTAACAGGGCTAAACCCTCAAATTTTCAATATAATTTTACAATTTCATGCCCTAGAAAATCGAGTTGAAATTGTTAAATAAATCACTTAGCTAACGAATTTGCAAAGAAAACCATTAGTACGAACATTTGTAATCAGCCATTGATAGCACGCATGGCAGTGGGTCTATACCAGAACCTAGCCTGCCGGTGAAAACATTCACCACTTTTTCAAAAATGGAACTGTCATGACCGGCCTATTCCACAAAATAGTCACAACATCCAATAATGGTTGGTGTTAATGCCGTCATTCATCATGCTTATTAACCACATTAACAGCATGGCAACGCTTGTCATGATTTCGATTTCTGGTCATGCTCTACTAACTGACTAAACTAACATGCTGAAACCATACATGGAAACAAATCAGCAAATTGACTCCTTTAAAGCCACTGTCAAACTTATTTTCCATGTCATTTGACCTACCTGGTCAACAGATTTTTCCTGTTCCCCAAGCCACTCAGTTCGGCATCTAATGCAATGTAACTGCATGACCTAATTGCTAACATAAGACCAGGCCAAAGAGATTTGAAGTTTTCCCGATGCACATCCACGACAGGAACGCTTGAAAAGAAGGCCATTTCCAAACGTTTTTCTGAAAGAATTAAAGTGCTTTAATTCTCCGCTGTCTTACAGTTTAGACATTTGGTTGGTATGAAAATTTGGGCAAATTCACTCATAAAATTTATAGGTTTTGTTTCACTATCAGTGTGCAAAAGGAAGTTTATTGCGGCTCATGAAGAGCGCCATTTTGGGTTAAAGGTTAGTGAGGGCGATGCGCAGAAACGGATTTTCAATTGGTATCCTGATCTATACTAGGTTTATGTGTTGAGACATTGATTACCAGTGGAGATCGTGGCGCACGTTGTTTACGTCTTTCGCGGAGAGTTGCGCGGGAAACATGTACACGTGGGTTGCATAAGTTATTACATGTACATGTACGTCAGCTGAGTCGGTTGACAGTTCGCTGACAATCGAGTGTCAAGTGCTGATGATCGGGCGTTTTCGTGTTAACATTGCTCACTGTAATCTTCGATTTGGTGTACATTATATCCGTCAGAAAATGAAGAGAAAGTCAACTCGTTCATCCGCGGTAAGTCAAAGGAAAGAATCGTCGAATTCTGAATGTAATTCATCCGCCGGCGAGGACGAAAAGACTGGACTAGAGGACGATGGCGATTTCTTGCCTGATGGCAAATCTCTCAGGAAGAAGAGGAAAGTTTGTACTGATTCTTGCGCCGAAGGTAAGGACAGATTTACTCACGCCAGTGGACACTACAACGCACTAATTTTCAGCGTTTTTATTTTATGTTTACAGTCATGACAAGGTGCCAAACAAATATATAAGAATCTTGGGCCATGAGAATAGAGGTAGCTTTGTCGGTAACATGCCCAGCAAAACCCACGAGACATTATTTCATTTTTCCTTATTTAATTTCAACCTTCAAGTGGGCCCTTCTTTTCAACATGTTCAAGTATCATACAGCCAAACATGCTCAAACTACGACCGAAAGCCTTGCTGAGGGACGAGTTGATGTAGGCCCTTCATCAGTTCATAGATCAATGACATAGGAATCTGAAGTATCAATGTCCAACTCTGTCAGAAATAACTGTCTAGATTCTTTTGGGAATCAATGGCTCAGGGCAATCCTGGCACTCCTGCATTGTGAGTATTACACCTGGACGTACAAAAAAAAAAACTAAACCGAGTTTAGTATGGAGGAAATGCATAATGGTGTTTTATACAGCTGCTGGAAGATTCGGAATTCAGGTTTTTGTGATTTTGTGTCTTTTCCTTACAATTAATGAAATTTTTATGAATAATTAATTGTAATTATAATGATTTTTGGGGGCAGTGACATTGGGACACGCAGGCGATGAACACAAAGCTACAGTTTGTAAAGTTGTATTCTCATGGCCTTATTTACCGAAGATTAAAGAAAGTTTTCTTCAAACTTCAATTTAACTTTAAGTAAATTCTATCACTCCATCCCATGATTCCTGCAGAACAGTAAAGAATCATATCTAAACTGTCTCCATGCTGTATGTTCATAGCTGTAGGTTTAGTTCATATTAATTAATTGTCAGATGTTCTGGATTTTAAACTTGGCCGAGCTGTTATTTTGACTTCAATCAAATGTTTGCTTTTCAGGGGATCATACTCCTCCAAATCCCTTTCACTTCTTCACCGAGGAGAAAGACATTACCCAGTTCCGTCGGGATCTCTTGAAGTGGTATGATGCTAACAAAAGGGACCTGCCATGGAGGAAATGGGTAAACAAAAACCAACATAACAAATAATCGCCCATTTTAGGCCAAATCATTTCCTTTGTATAAGTTACAGTTAACGTTTTCTCTTGTCTCAAGTTATTGGTCGTGTTTAAGGAAGGGTTCATTCGTGATTTTTGAATTTGTCAACAGGCAGACCATGAAGATCCCAACCAACGAGCCTACGCTGTCTGGGTGTCAGAGATCATGCTGCAACAGACGCAAGTAGCTACGGTGATAGATTACTACAACCGATGGTTGGCTGTACGACAGTTTTCTACCATTTTTCATTTCAACATTTATAAAAGAGGTTTTTTTTAGAAGAGACATGTGAAGAATTAGTTGTGTGGTTTGCGAATTCTCGAAAGGAAAATTTGGCTATGACAGGCAGCTGTGTAATGCACCTGTGTATGGGAAATTGATAAGGGGCATTCTATCGATTTTTTGTGTCTCTGTCACATCTGACATATGATTTTATAAGTTCAGAACACACTGTGTAATTTCTAAGAGTGGTGAATTTATGCAAATTACCCGCTGAACAAATGCATATAGTAATAGTTTGAAATCAATTTCAGTGATATTTCTGTGTAGAATTACACTGGTCAGTAGTAAAAGGGGCATTAAAATGTCAAATATGTGAACCATGAATTTGTAGAATGACCCATATGTGGAACAAAAAACAGCAGAGGGGTCAGTAAATGACTGCCCCCTTCACTGTGTTTCACCAATGTTTTTACACTTTTGCCATGTCTTGAACACTCCACAACCTGTTCTTCATATGTATCAGTTTGGAGGCTCTAAACTGGATTGAAACCAGAGAGTGATTTCTCTGTTGAAATACAACTCGATGTCCAATTTGAAGTCAAAATTTAACGTGCATGCTGTAAGCACATTGCAGATTATTTGATTTCAGGAATAATTCTTTTGCATTTGTGTGTGTGTTTTATGATTTTACTTTTCTTCATCGCACAGCGCTTTGTTTTAATAAATCCTCATCTCTGTAATTGTTTTGATTTTTACACAAGACAGAAATGGCCTACCCTGGAAGACCTTGCCATTTCTGCAACACCAGAGGTAAATTATTTGCCGTGAGAAAATAGTTCAGAAATTATTTTACTTTTAGCATGCTTAATTGTAATTTATAGCAATGAAAATTTGAAATGTGAAGGCAATCTGATTCCAAGAGCTAATTTACCCTGCAGAAAACCTTAAACCAGTGCTGTTTGACCTATGATAAGTTTTTATTTTTATTTGTTCGAAATGCAGTTGATTGTAAGGGCTTTTGACAAATTAGCTTTTGTATCACGTGTTTCAGAGAAGTCATACTGTAGGCAGTATCTATGTTAATGGTTCTTGTCCACTGCAGGAGGTGAACGAGATGTGGGCAGGGCTCGGTTACTACTCTAGGGGAAGGCGGTTGTACGAGGGAGCCAAAAAGGTCATGAAGGATCTCTCTGGCACGATGCCGATGACGGCGGAGTCACTCTTGAAACAGCTGCCGGGAGTGGGGCGATACACGGCAGGGGCTATAGCGTCCATCGCATTCAAAGAGGTACTTTAAACAGGCGTCGATTGGAAGAAACAAGCCATACAGGGAGACTGAATACTTGAAATCTTGTAAATATTGACCATAAGTCTGAGTTGTTAAGAATTGAAATTATGTTCAAGTTAATTTTTGAATCTCCCGTTCAGCCGACTGGAGTGGTGGATGGCAACGTGATCAGGGTGTTTTGCCGAACAAGATCCATTGGTGCTGATTCCACAAGTCAAACAGTCCTTTCGGCAATTTGGTAAGTGTTCATTTCTCCTTGCAGCTGCAATTTTTGTACAGAAGGCAAAAACAGCAGATACACCCCAACCGTCCCGCCCTCAACCCACCTTATCTCCTTCTTCTTAAATCCAACCACATTCATACATTTGAGCTCAAATGGGACATGCATCGCTTGACATGAAATGGAAGCTGTCCTATAAAGCTACCTAATCATGAGATCGAGGTATGAATGAACTGTACAAGAACAGCATTTGTAGGAAACAATAAAGTAGGCGGGCCATGGGGCAGTTATTGAACCATACCCATCGAGTCCTCAACCACCATGGCTTGTATGAATCACTGCCGCAACCCATCATGGCTGCGAGTTTTCCTTCAAAGCTTTTACGGAGAAGCAAAACCAGAACATTCCAAACAAATCCAGCCTGTGTGTACTTTTATTGAAGGTCCTTGGCCAATACCTTGGTGGACCGGGAGCGGCCAGGCGATTTCAACCAAGCCCTGATGGAGCTTGGCGCAACCGTCTGCACTCCGAAAGCGCCCTCCTGTGCCAAGTGCCCAGTCAGTCACCTCTGCAGGGCTTTTCAGCACGTGAGTTTGGTGGACTATTTTTTTACACATTGGCAAATGGTTCACTGATTTGAATTAAAAGAAGCCCGTCTTGGCTGGAATAAAAAAACAAAACATGTGTTTTTCTTCCGGGAATAACAAAGTTTGCAGTATTTCCATCCCCTGCCATTATACCTTTGGCAATTCTGCTGGTAAGAGTACTTGATCACTTGTCGTCTGCCAAGACGAAAACTGAAGAGGGGTGGTCGCAATATTTTTCACAAAAACAAAGTATTACCACGGTGAACCGAACTGTTCATTAACTGTTTTTGTTTTTCTGTTATTTTCTCATCTCTGTAGGAAGAAAATGTTAAGAGAGTTGTTAAGGAAAGACTCGAAGAAAACTTTATTGGGAAAGGCCCGGCTAAATCATGTTCTCTACCGGACATTGAGTGTGGTAAGTGTGTTTGTCCAGGTTGAGTTTGTGATAACAGAATTAATGAATTAATCTTTTCCTACATTTATAGTCCCAGATTATGTTCCACCCTAATAGCTGCCGATAACTGTCAGCTCTGCATACCAGCCAGCGATGATTGGGACCTCAATCAAGGCGTCATGAACTTCCCCCGTAAACCTCGAAAGAAACCCCCTCGACAAGAACAGGTGCGTTAGCCTGCTGGCCACTAGCCATGCAGACACTATGAGACTGCTTATTGCAGAAAAGAACTGCTCAGAAGTGATTCCTAGATAAGTTAAATTTCAATTAATTTGATAAAAAGCTACAAAGATATCACCATTTGAAATGGCCTCTCTCTCTCACTGTCTCTCAATTTTTGTCAGTTTTTCTACTTTTTGGTCAAATCCTACTCACTTGGTAGTGAAAATATGGCAGGGCTCACTGTTAGCAATCCCTCAATACCTATAATGCCAGATACAGAAATTGAATGCTGAAGAATGTTCAATATGCTGGACTTGCAGTTTTCAATTTCTTTATTCAAACATTTTTTAGACAGCTGTTTGCATCATTCAGAAGAAGTATAAAGATGACGTATCATCTGAGTATCTCCTCGTTCAGAGGCCAGAAAAAGGTAAACAGATATTTGTGGTTTCAAAGCTGTCAACTAATTAAATTCATCAAATGTCACCACGAAATTCTTTGTAGGTCTACTCGTGAATAGTTTTGTATTTCTGTGTTGATGGTCTTTTTTTTTCCACAGATTGACCATAATTCTTTAGCAGGTGTGAGCCGTGAGCTGGACCAAGAGAAAGCACAACCTCTGACCAATGGAGGCTCCTTTGGTCAGAACTGAACTTCGCTGGTCCATGAACGACTAGGAAATGCATGCGTTACGGTTGCATCACTACCAGCAAATTAACACTCCCGACCAGTATGGCTCTTTTCAACCTATGAGGGGGTGCTTGTGCTCATGGTGGATTAATGGTGGACGTTTGTTTTGTCCATTCAGGTTTGCTCGCCGGACTGTGGGAATTCCCAAGTGTCAGGATGGAAGATCATTGGTCAGTTTCTGAACGGGTCAAAGCCATTGATGCTTTCCTTACAAAGGATCTGGGAATGAATATGAATGAAAAGCGTGACAGGCGCACCATCGGAGAGGTAAGAAAATAAGGGAAGCTTGGATTTGTGTGAAAGTCTCTCCCCCGTCTTCATAACGCTTACCTGTTATGAACTGGGCATGAATATCAGGAAAGGTTCTTTGTCTCCAAGTAATTGGAGTTTCAAATAGTACCCCACATGGCCAATGGGTTGGTTGTATTTGTGGTATGGAGCCATTCTTACATATGACAGTATTTTCGTTATGGTTTTAGGTTTTGTTTCTTTTTCTTGAGTGCAGGTGGTCCATGTGTTCTCACACATCGAGCAGACGTATTGCGTCGAAACCTTCGGTATTAAAGAATCTGACGTCACATTGCAGACCACTGGTGCAACTCGGCCTTGCAGGTGGCTTTCAGCGGAAGATTTTAGGACGGCAGCTGTCTCCACAGCCATGAAGAAGTGTTTTAACGCTTACCAGACATCCATCCACCCTCCAAAGGTAACCAAAGAATAGGATGGGTGAACGAGTACACTTTCATGGAGAGATAAACATGAAGACAATTAGGGATGTGCCTTTACAGGTTTCCATGGAACTGGATATCCATTTTTTTTTCTCATGATCAAATACCTGCGAAACAAGGATTGCTTTTAACAGCCTGGCATCTTACTTGAAAATAATTTTGTTACCACATGACAGTGTTCTATTCAAGTCTATCACGGGTCCCTTCACAAGGCCAGTCACAAGTCCCTTCACAAGGCCAGTCATTAGTAACAGGGTGAACAATGACAAAAGAATGCTGTTGTCACAGTTCATTTGCATAGCTCGTGATTGGCTTAAGACTGAATGACTTATGATGGACTTGCAGGGACTTGTGATGGACTCGAATGCAGCACTGCCACATGACTTTTTTTCTGCTGAGTATCCGGGGCCATTCTTTCTCTCAAGGCTCCGCGAAATGAAACAACCAGAAAATATCTCACGGGAATTTTTGGATGTGATGAAGGAGCATGTGGACCAGTGATACAAGAGTTGTCACCTCTAGTCTGGTTCCAGCCCTGTCCGTTTGAAGTGTAGATTGTAAATTGAGAAAGTTGTGGATATAGCCAGTAACCAGGAGATATCAGGATAGATATGATCACTGTTGACACATCCACAACTGTCATCTTGTCATGGATGTTTCTGTCTTTTATTTCTGGCGCTGTTAGGTAAATCCCAAGAAAATCAAATTTGATTCAAGCGGTTCAGGAGACAGTAAAAAGCAATCAGCTTTGGACGCTTTCTTCAAACCGGTGCCGAAGAAGAAAAGATGATGAAAGTTGGACATTGAACCTCGGGCCAGTAACTTGACTGACATCAGTAGACAGTCGCATCCTGAACACAGGTCACAAACAGTATAATTGATATGTCATATTTAAGAGTTAAAAAAATTCCATGATTGATGGATCCATCTTCAGTCTTTCTACAGGGTTGAGTTTTTGTTGTCTTTTTTTGGCATGAACTCTCTGGTTTCTCAGTCCTCCACTGGAATATTTCAGAAGGTGAAGAGGACGATCCATAGGAATGCTTCATCATCCTTCAGTCTAGAAACTTCCATCCAGGAAATCTTTGAGATAAGGTTAAGGGTAGAAATCAGTTGGTACTTGGTCAAGCTGTCCTTTGAAGCAGAAGTCTTCGCAGATGCCAATGTACATGTACGGTGTACATGAAAGTTGATTATAAGTCCAACTCTTTTAGCGTGTAAATATTTTTGGGGAACCGAAAATATTTAGCCGTTGCTAACAAAATGTGGGCTGTTCGACATGATTGAATTATCTTTAAAAATAAAAATAGTGTTGCCCAAAACAATGAATTTGTCTCCATTTCTATATAAGCCATCAATGAGATCTTTATTTTGATGCTTTCAAACAAATATTAGTAAATAAGCAAAGCACTTCTTTCACACTGAACAATAATTCCAAATATTTCCAACACCAGACAATAGTACAAATGTATTGAAACCGAGGCCTAAAGTAAAACTTCTTTCCCCTTACCGATTTGTTTAGTAACAAACCATCTTGTTTCATCTCCTTGAGGTTGAGCAGCTGCAATTTTTCACTGATGCAAAATTTGCCGGCCGACCTTACCGTCAATTACTCTGTGTATGTACACTGATTTCAACAAAATGGTTGCTAGCATTTTCACACAAGTGTATTTACACCAACTGATTATGCATACATTTATCTTCTCCCTTGAAAAAAGTAAAATTTTGTTTAAAATATTTTTAATTTATTAGATCTGAATTTGCACTAACATCAGCTTTTTCTATCCTGAATTTTTCGATGAGGAACTCTTTTGTGGGTTAAGGGGGATGTTTAATTTTGCATATAAGAAACTGATTGATTAAGTCTCCAAAATGAACTAATTTTCTATTAAAGAAGGTAGTGTGCTGTCCAAAAAATGGATTCATACGACACAGGCACTGAAAATTTATTTTCGGATCAGATAACTCAAGCTGTGTCATGGCGATTGAACTCTCGCTTTGTTTTTTCCCAAGATTCCCCAACTTAAGTCTTGAAAATTCACTCTGAATTATTTTTCCCCTCCATATGTTTCACAAAATTTTCACAGTTCTCTTTTTTAAAAAATCACGAAAACGTGTTCCATGTTTATCAAAAGTGTCCAGCTCTAGAGCCACTCCCAGTTTACAGTCTTTACAGATATTAAAGATGGATCTTTGCCCTAGAGCAAAAGTTGAATCACCGATGCAGCGCCCTCCCTTTCCATTACAGCCTCAGTTCGATTCTGTTTGCGCGTCGTCAGTGAGCAGTTTTCGTCTGTTCCATCCTTTCCTTGCGTTGACCTTCCTCGCTGCCGAACACCGTCAGACCTGCGTCAAGGAGACGCTTGTTTGCAGCCGCGGACGTGGGTGGCGCTGCGTCAACCTGGGTCCTGCCTTCAGACCGACGTTTTCTGCCATCGACAAAGAAAAAAGTTCAATTCATCATAATCATGTGTAAGAACTTTGTTTTGCATCAAGACAAACATAGGTTTTCCTTTCCCAGCCAACTGTAAAACATGGGAGCTTTTCCTTTCTAGCCCCACGTGCAACCTTCGGTGACGCGGTCGGATTCGATATTAAGTCTTATTCGGCGGGGCGGTTCACTGATTTAGCTGTGCAACTGATACGAAGTGGCAAAGAGAGAACTCGATGGCCCAAGTCACGCATTAGGTCGCTCGTCGAAAAGAAAAAAAATGGAGATATTTTTGGTTGCAGGATAATGGTCGTTTTTGCGAAAGGGAAATAGCGTGCTCTAATAATAGGGTTTTGGAGGGAGCGGTTACCTGAATGGGCTTGGTGGGACAGGTCCAGAGGGTGGCTTCCCCACGGCAGATCGGCAGGCGTCACTGGCAATTACTAAGGTGAAGAGACAAAGCAGGACCAGCCACGTGGACTCCATGACGTCAAGCCAATAACAAAGATGATGAACTCGAAGGTGTCCAAGAGGATGAAACTTTTCGTCACTTTGCAGAATCACTTTTGTTGGGCGACGTGACGACGACCGTTCTCCAAGTCTGAAAAAGCTTGAACCGGCGCGATAATTCTGAGCGGATGTGTTGTCATTCGCTAGACAGAAGGATTTGACCCACTTTGTCAAAACCACTCAATTTATAGTTTTCCTAAGGTCCGGGATGACACTGATGTGGTAAACATTAAGTCAGTAAAGTGTAACTATTGTCATGAAGCCAGTTTAAATCACTTAAAAATCGAAAAGTTTCAAAATTTCCCCGAGCTGTGTGATGTATTACCGAATACTCATGGGCGCTTACTTTTAAGGAAGTCGAGTGTTTATTTCGATGTTTTTGGATGAAAGCCAACTTCGGTAACACGCTCTCCAAACATGCGTTTTTAGTGAGAGCCAACTATTCCAGATTGCCTTTTTAAACAGTCAAGTTCCCAGTCTCTCTCCTCGCTACCTTCCGCTTTAGATGGTTCAAGGACAAAAGTACTTGGCATGTGATGATCCAGTCAAGTAATAACAGCCAGTTACAAACTTCTGTGTCGAAGATGGTGCATTTTGTTTATTTTATCGAGTATGTAGTGTCTGCCTTTCAGGAAGATAACAATTGGCACTTTTTAAAATTAAGTTTCGCAATAGTTACATTTGGCAGACTCAAATCACCCGTTAAAAGTAAGTTAGGAGAAAAGGGTCTCCTCCAGTTTCCAAGGAGGAGGGGGCTGAGCGGGTCTCACGATTTACCACTTTGTAGTCCAACACCCACCGATTCCGGGTTATTCGAGCACGGGCAGCGTTTCTACATTTGTCTTTGCCAGCATCGTGCGCAAGCGCACGTTTTAATACATCATGTTGAATGTAACTTTGAAGCAACGGAATGAATGCAAACTTCGGCCAGTGATCACTCGCTTCAGATCCCATGCGACTTTGCTGCCGCAGGTGTTTTGAGCTGGGAGTGCCATTATGCTCAGGCAATCAGAAATTTTGTGGATCCGATGTCTGGAGCCGGATCTGAGCAGAGGTTTGAAAACAATATCGTCAAACAGACATTGATCGATGAATCAAAGAAGGGAGACCACGTACTCGGAAACGGCTGACAAAATGTGATACCGCGCTCTGGTCTAGGAAGGGAAATCCCCCTTATTTATAAGCTTTATCAACAACTTACACGCAATCTTATTCCTTGGTCCCCCCCCTGAAAGAAAAACAATACAATCTAAATCAATAATAATTGTCACAACGACGGGAAGAAAATCATTGTAAAACGAACCTTCCTTCGAGACAGAATTTATTCAAAATAAACATGGAGACCCAATTTTACAAATGCTCATTTTGATTTGTCTGCCTATATTTTTTTTTTCTAAGTGGTGCCGAGACTTAATGGCCGGTGTGCATTACTGCTCGGGTTAACTCCAGGAACAAATTAGATTTTCGTTTTGCACTTGACTCGTAAAGAGCGCCCTCTAGTGGCAGCGTAAAGTGACGTCCGAATAACTGCAATATGTTTGAAATGGAAACAAAGGGCGTTTGTTTTTCCATATAGGTACAAAAATACGGCAAGCCATTACAGTAAGCAATCTCTTTTTTTTTGTAATTTCCGTTTGCAGGATGAGCCACAATCTTAGTCGTGTATACTCAAGAAAGAAGTGTGGGCACCCAAACAAGAGTCTACAGGACTGGTGAGATTCGCAAAATTAATATTACACAAAATATAATTTTTATATAAAAATATCATAAACAGCTTCATTCATCCAATTAGGGAAAACTAAAAACAAAACAAAAATCAGAGAAAAGCATTCCTTAATTTATTTCTTGTTACATGTACGTCCTCGGGTTATTGCAGGGGATTTTTATACTAAGTGAAGAGTTCCCTTTCTATGTTAATGTAATGACCAAAACTTTAATCCGGATTCTTAACAAGTGCAAAACCGACAGGAATAACCTTCAACGTTAGAATAACAATAAATAATTTGAAGCAAAATATCTAAGCAAAGACTTAAATTTTCAGATGGCTTTTCCCCTGCTTAATTAAAAAGCTTGTTTTTCAAATGCAAGGAGCACACGAACTGTACAGGAATATTTTTGTCTTTGGACAATCGTGCGTTCGGACTACCTTGCAGTACGTAGTGTAGTTACATCTAGAGCATCACACAGGTCGGGGCCGTCGGGTGCTTTCGCTCAAGCAACAGTCGTAGAGTATTAAGAAGATCCAAAATCGAGACCTAAAAGCAACAAAGGATTAAAAAAAAAAAGACTGAGTAAGCGTTCATCTTCCGTGTGTACATTTTCCAAAGTGGAAACTGACAAGATGAGTCCATGTCTGTTACCATTTTCTGGATACTCACCCTGTTCAGGCTGCAAGATCTCACGATTTGGATGCTGACAAAAACTCGTCAAACGAAAGTATGCCGTCCCCTGAAAAAAGAGGATTTAAGGGTACATGTCACCAATTGCCGAAATATAGAGAAAATGGAGTCAGTCATTCACTGTTACTGAGAGTTGGGTGTTGGTGGGAGAAAAGTAACGTTGGAGCACTGATGTATTTTAGAATAGTTTCTAGGACCTAAAGTCTGAAAATTTGAAGTTGCTCGTTTCAAGGTCGTTCTTCTCTTTCGCACAATTTAATTCTTCCCTATACATAAAATAAGCAATTAGAGGAATAGGACAAACCAGAGACATTAGTTACGCCCGTCACCGTGAAGAAAATTTGGCCCCAAAAAACAAGCTTACCATTTCTGTCGAAGTCGGCCAGGAGTTGAGTGTAGTCGTCTGCGATGCCTCCCCGCTTGGCCCACTCATCGGCACAGACGCTACCGTCGCCGTCCACGTCCAAGTCGACAAAGAGTTTCTGCATCATCCTGGTCACGACCTGGGATTGCTGCACGTCATTGTTGTTGTCACTGTCGTCGTCTCGGCGCCTCCTGTTGATACAAACCGCATTATAAACCGTGAGAGTCGTGTGACTTTGGACTGTTCTGTGTTTCCGCGAAATGTGATTTTTACAAAATAATGCCCAAATAAGTTTTCCAGCTCAAAACTGTTGAATATCGGTTAGATGGAACTTGGGTGTGTTCACTAACGATATAATTGGCCTCCAATAAGTACCAGGCGTCATAATTACTTCAATTAACTGATGTCTTTCGAGGATACACCACCCGAGGCCTCAAGTCATAACGTGTTTGAAATGATCCAGTTGAAGTGGCAATGCCAACATTAATGTGCATTATATTTTCGACCGAGTTCGGTTACAGATTCACGTTTGTAAGAAGAGTCTATTGTATATTAGTAGGTCATGTGAAAATCGGCTTCTTCCTGCGTTAGTATACATTTCTTAAATGGTGACTGACAGTTCGTGTGAAGGACACTTGCTACAGTTTTTTCAAGAGAAAACTTATCATTTTAATCGATAAGCCTTACCTGAAGGGATGCGGCGGTACTGGACCGGACCCGGGGCCGTACGAGCCGCCGTCAGCCGAGGGTGGTGGGGTGTAGCCAGCCGGCAAGCCGCCTTGGGCTGACCTGTTGCAGGCCTCCGAGATGACCAGGATGCAGGCGAGGAGACTGAGAGTGATGACGATGCCGCTCATGGTGGATAAGGTTGCTATGGCAACGGACGGGATGTGACTCGGAAAGTTGTCGTCTGCTAATTGAAAGACATCAAAGAAAAAGAAGAAATTCGCTGATAACCCGCCTCTCAAACAACAACACAGTTTTTGTGAAATTGAATCTGCATTTCTCCACCCCTTGATATTTCGGACTGAAATTTCACCGCTTGGAAAAATATGTCACACGCGTGTCACGACATGAACTAGTGGACTTGAATTGGCTGTCTTGGTCAGCGTTGCTCGAAATCAGTGCAAGTCGCATATGGGACAGCCGACCGCGTTCCTTGAAAACGGTCCGTCAGAAGTATCAGTTACTACAAGGTAAAGTATTGGAGGGCAACTTTTAATGAAAGAAAATCCATCTGTCAGTATACATTGCAATAGTTTGGATGGTAAGAGCCGTAAAACTAAAAGACGATTGGAATTGCATTTGTGATCAAGATCTCTTCAAGAAATAACAATTGCACAGAATGGAGATCAGCAAGCGACTATGAAGAGCACGGAGGAAGGAGAGTAAAGTTGATCGTCTTACAGTCGGGAGATTTAGCAAAGAAACCTTACTTGGCAGAAGAAGTCTTCCTGAAGGACTCGAAAGAGGAGACCGACCCCTTGTCAAGAATGTCAGCAGATGCAGATTGTGGAGTTTGTCCAGGGGATAGATGTGCCGTTCTGCTGCCTGGTTTTCCCACCAAGTCTCACTGGGCTGGAAAAAGCAAAAAACGACTAAGTCGGCGGGAGCAGGAGAGGCTTCAGATCGCTCAGGCTTTGGTTGGAGGGCTGACTCGGTGCTCAACGGTCTCGGTGGTGGTTTGATGGCGAGAGGGAATCCCAACCGTGTTTTATAGCCCCAGCGAGGGGGCCCCTCCTCGTGCGCATACCGCGCGGGCTTCCCCAACCTCGCAACCTTAACCCCCAGCCAGCTGATCACCAGATCTCAGCTGATTCTCGGCTTGTGACGTCACGACTGCGTCTCTCGAGTCTCCGCCATCCAGGGGCGCACCTCCCATTGTAGCGCGATATCCCGTGGGGGGGGGGTGTCCCTGTCGTCTTTCGACAGATTGCGCAATCTTCCCGGTGCGAGCGAAAGCTATAGGTCCTTCACCTCCATTTCACATTGCTGTGATTGAGAAACACTTAGCAGAATTACTTGCCAAGAACAGCTGGTTTTGTTTACTTTTGTAAATTCGTGAGGTAAGTGTTGTTACTTGACCACCACTAAAAGTATGTGTTAACATCTTTTGGTCAAGTGGCGATTTCAAAAGGTCGCTCGTATGCAAGACTAAACTTGGATCTTATTTTGGAAGACAACACTATAGTGGGTAGTTGTGTTATCTTTTGCTCCATAGTGTGGCCCGTGATCAGTTGCGCAATGCTATAGGGTCGTTGTGAGTTCGCAGTGATCAGAATTAAGGAGAATTACCAGTTTTTCTGGTTTGACTGGAGCTTTGTCAAATCATTGAATGCGTTCTTTTCAGGAATCCCCAGTAGAGCGATTATCTTCCAAAGGCAAGGAGTTAAGCCTCCGCATCGTACGATTGTCTGACGTCAAGGAGTGGGCGGGGCCAGACAGGCCTCCCAGACGCTGATTGGTTAAGACTGTATCCAAGGCGGCCTAGGTTTTGAGGCGGGTTTTTTTGTTCAAAGGGACGAGGTGTTGGGGGGTCGTAAACGGGACAGTGACCTCCCTCGCAAAACCACCAACGCGGCGTTTGACGACTCCATCACGCAATCACGAGAGAAAAGTCTGGAATTCGAACGTCCCATCTTGGAAGTAAATCTACCCTGGTGAAGGTCTTGGATACTTAACCTTGTTTGCTGATATTACCAGTAACCCTTTGCTGATATGCCAATAACCCTTTTGAGGTGGGCTTGTTTTCTGTAAAGAGGGAATTTAATCCTGCCTGAACAATTTGTTTGTTCTTGAATAGGTGCGCTTGTAGGAGGAATGAACAGGTTTTGAAATGGATGTGGGTCTTGCTTCGCCAGAAATTGAGAAATTTTTCACTCCATCCAGCACGATCCCAAAGGAATGAAGAATGAATGACGCCTTTGGTCAATTTTTACAGACTTTCCGTTTCTGTTCATGTTGTCGAGCTCCTCAGAAAATGGAAAGAAAATGCAATAAATAATCTAAAAGTAAAGTAGCATTATATTCCATTTCACAAAATGGGATTTTCTATATGGCTAGAGTTATTGTACTGGGTCCTAACATAGCAAATAGAAAAGATAGACAATAATTAATCACTTCAAAGTAATTTTGAGGGGTGAGGCCTAATTATGGGGGGGTGTCCTCAGCAATAATGTTGAACAACTCAAGAACATGTATGAGCATGTATTTGGCAATCGGGGAGACAGAACCAGGAAAGGACACGTCATTGAACAACTCCCCTCGTGACGATTTCTTCATGCTGTGATAGGCCTAAAATGATCGTCGACAGACTGCCAACTCTTGAGAGGGGCATGTCCGCCCTGTTTCGGTTTGAAATGACCACAACAATACGTGCAAAAATCGCAAAATATGCCGTCATAAGTCCTTGATTTGAGTTAGACTTTCAGTTACCCCCACCTCCCCCCTTTTTTTATTTGTTAATGTCAGAGTTCCTGCAAAGATGGTCAGGTAAAACCGAAAAGATTGCCTATAATTAACTGGACCTTGTCGGCAAGTTGGCGTGCATCACCCCATAACCTGTTACCGGCCCAGCCGCCATCTCTGGTCAGACGGCGGATCCCCAGAGAACCACTGACCTAAACTAGATCCGTATCTTCGGGGGGAAATGCTCAATCACTCCCGCTTCCGGAGGCCAGGGGAAAACGAGAGAACGCTCCCCGACATTATGAGCATTGAGATGGAGTCCCACTTTGACTTGCCAATCAGGCTGATTTTCTAGGAGACTAGGGGTTGTTAAACATCTTCATCCCCCCTAACCTGCTTCGATCCCCACCCACCCCACTCGTCATAAATGCCCCAGGCCTCAAGTTTCCTTCAGAGATGTTTGTATTTCAGTAATCCGCTCTCCCATCAAAATTCATCATGAAAATTGAATTCGTCATTTAGCCCAACTTTACCTTGATTTCGGTGTAAAGGTTCTTGCCTAGTTTAAGGCCCACCCGTCCCCATCCCCACCCTCTGGATCGTGAGGGAGGGGAGACAGAGGGGAAGGGGTGGCATGGTGCCCCTGCCCGGAGGCCTGCTACAGATTAATCAAACGATTCTCGATTGTCGAGGTGGCCTTTGGTTTTTTAACCTGAAAGATTTACCTCAGACTTGGCCGACAAAAGAACGGCTGTTTTCCATTTCAAAAGATATTGAGGTATAGCACCGTCATCTTACTGTTCGATGGCATGTCGCAAATTTGTCTGTTCTGTATTTTTTGGCCAATTCGGTCTTTTCAAAAATTGTTATTTTTCAATTTTAAATATTGCTGTTCTTGCAGTACCTCGTCCCTGCCAGAACCGAGCTTCCAGACTCGACAGGTTATGTTCGTCAGCTGGGGTAAGCGTTTTGACCTTCTTCGCACGCTAGCTGTGACCTCCTGTGACCTGGTCCCTGGACGGCGGGGGCGGGGTGGGGGGAGGTGTGGCACTACCCGACGATCTGATCCCCTCATTGACTCGGTCAGCTGTTCAAAATGTACCAGCTGGTATTTAGTCTTCAGCTAGCGGTCCATATCACATGGGTAGCTCAGCGCAGTATCTCACCGTTACATATTCGAAACTCGTTTTTTTTGGGGGGGGGGTTAAGTAACTTAAGTAAAGTACATTTCAAACTTTCAAAGGGTGAAAAAAGTGACGTACTTGTACGTTGAGCAAGAGTGGATTTGGGGGGACAATGTGTGCCAAAATCTTCCCCTCCCCAAAAGGAGCCCCCATTTTTAATAATGAGAAAAAAGCGAAGTTTTGGTCTATTTTATTCTTAGGCCTACATGACGTCTTCGAAGCATGTAAAAAGCCCCCAAATGTAGCCTCGTCCCTCAGAAAGGCCGTCAAATGTTACATTGAAAAACTTCCGCCTTTCTAAACCCTCATAAAAATTTTCCCTGCCAGGCCCGTAACTAGAGGGGTTAGGGGGAGCGTCCGCACCCCCTTCCCACGTGATTAAAAGTCCGCTTTTGAGGCAAGAAATGATTTTGAGCTATAGGTAACAGTTTACGCAAAAAATAACTCGCGCTTCTATTTTTTTCGCCTTGGTCAATCCCCTCTCCCAGAGTTTACTTATAACCCCCTCCAAAAAATGGTACTACCTCATGAATCCTGCTGTTTTTCAAAAAAAGGTCCGCTATGCTTGGTCCGCTTTGTTGAGGATTCACACCCCCCACGAAAAGTCCTAGTTATGGGCCTGCCCCCCCCCATTTGTTCTGGATCCGCCCTTAACTGAAGGTTCAGTTATGTCGTAAAGACGGGACAGTTATTTGCTATACCGAGATTTCCTCATTCTCAGCCCGTATGTAGACTAGTCTTGATGATACCCCCCATCGTAATCAAAGAATCCCCCGAATCCGAATTCCTGACGTTGCGGTTTTCGTACTGATAAGGGCTGAGGTCTGACATTTTCCTTCACTTTGAGTCTCGTATGGGATTCAACCAACAAGGCGAGGTCACGTGACCGTAGTCTCCACAGCAAGAACAATATTTTCATTTCTAACTCCAAAATAGTCGCCGTTCCTTGTCACAAATATTTCCTCACATTCCTCTGTGCTGTCGTGTGAAAGCGAATGATGTTCACGTGATCAGGGCAGTACATGTGGATCACGTGGTCGCCCTTATGTTACGTTACGCTGAGACCAATGCAAAATGTTAAACTAGGAAAAAGCGAGACAAAATGTACGAACGGGGTTAGCTAATAATGATACTAATGAGCTTGAGATATTAATTGATTAATTGATTTTATTTATTTATTAGCCACATCCAACAGCAGAAATACCGCCAATTACAGGAATGGAAATAAATAAACTCAAAAGAAATTGTAATTTAAATTGTGACACATATAATTGCTAAAGACAAACACTAGATCATAAAAAACGGATATGTGTGTGCATGTACAAATAAGTCGAGAATACACATACATAAATCAATTAACCGGAAAAACAAGACAAAACAAAAACAATAAGGGAGAATGACAGTGATCCAGGAAATAAGATGTTGTGGAAGTGGAGGGGAATCACAACCCAGGGGAGCACAGGTGAAGTAGCTATTGACACAAAGACAAACAATAAACCGCAGACAAACATATTAACAAACATCAAATATAACACACAAAAACAGACACCTGAACGTCAGGATAAATAAACACGTACATGTACTAGGGGGACCGAGGACACACGGAGAAGAAACAAACAAACAAACAAACAAACAAACAATAAGACCATTCAAATGACAGCTCATTCCCATTAGGTAGGCCATGAAGAAAGTGATCAAAATCATTAGAAGAAGAAACTCTATCAACTGGTAAACTTGGGAGCAGGAAATAGCATGAAAGACCAAAAACAGGAGAGCAATGTACAGGATTTGTTGACTGGTCGCCATCTTCAGTTCAAATTGAAACGAAAAGTCGTCAACATGCGCTGTGTGAATGGATTAGGATATTGAATGACTGTCTTCATTAACTTTGATGTGTCATTTACGATAAAATTGAAGTTGGTACTGATACTGATCTATACATATCTCATTCAGCTCCGTGATATTGGAGTGAGAGATTTAAAAGAAACGTTCAGTAATATTTAATTGTGGGCAAATGGCGGTGATATTAACTTAAACAACTTGCAAAATAAACCGGGAAATTAAGAACTGATTTGTGTCAGAGCACAGGATGTTATGAGAAGCATTGTCAGCGGCGTTTTTAACCGGGATATTATGACCAGGGCGTGGTGGTTGCCTCACCTCCGCTACACCCACGTTAATTGCTCACGCATCCACCACCACTCACGTCATAGTTTTGCCGTGGGCTTGGGCCACGTCGTCCTCATATATCTGGAAATGGGTGGCGTGATGTGAATTAACATTGATTGTTTCTGCATGCCAACCAAAGGTGCTGAGTACCGATAACCCAAATACGTGCCTGGTACATTTTATAAAATGTTGCGCCGACTTCATAACTAAACATAAATGTTGCATCAGTCATTGTCGACTAAAAAAAACTGGTATTATCGTTCAGTAGCCTTGAGACCAATGACACCTCCATTCCTGTGACTTTTTGCTGACGTGTTCCTGGAAATAAATCTGAAGTCATTGTGTCTCTGATGATTTATATGTTTGATTGTGTAGTTGTCTTTTTTGCAGCCCTCAATCTCTGTAGAATGAGATGTAAATTTGTGGAAAAATCATACATGGGCGGTCAGTGCTCTCAGTCGGCGTGATAGGTGCCGTTACTGCATGATCTCAACCTCGATCTTTAAGACTTTGGTACATGTATCGCTGTATCAGAAGAACTGTGTCCCATGATTGCTTTAGCAACCCCAAAATGAATGTTATGCACTGTAATGAGAATTTATTGTTGCTGGTTAGATTGCCACGTATGATAATTTAGGTTTATTTTGTGGGTAGGTGTTGATTCAAAGTTCTTGAACGACATTGGCAGGTTTTGTGTGAAATCGATAAATTGCTTTCTAGGTCTAATGGCGCTCTTGAAAACGTCCTTAGCCGTTCACAAACGCTAATCTGTGTTTTCATCCAAGAGGATTTCACAGTGTGTGCACGCGCCGATCATGTGACAGCACCAAGGCAGCCAGCTCACTTCGTTGCCTACCGAGCCCCAGAGGATCAGGAAAATCACCTTTGATTTACGATCACGGGGCCAGAAAAACTAGGTCCGGCGGGTTGAAGATAACTTCAGCTGCTTGGGGGG